ACGTTAATTGTCCTTCACATATGTTCTGCCCTTCTTCCATCGAAGGCTTCAGATGTAAACATGTGTAAAATAAACCATATTTCTTATCATCTCCACTGTGCCTCATTCCAAAGGAACACAAGCTCTAAAGTGCCAAGACTTCTGGAATCTCTTGTAACAATATAGTTTATGCAACATCTTGCAAAAGTAGATAATCAGGAAGCCTGTTATCTGTTCTACTTCTTTCTTTTCCCTTTGTTGGAATTATACAATTTCAAATGTTATTTACTGTTTGTGTTATGATAGTACAGTCAAACCTCTTCTTATGCCCGCCTCCGCTCGTGTCCATTTCGCCCAATGTCCACGGCAAACCCGGAAATAACCAGCGGGTTTGCCACCAGTTGCACATGCGCAGAAGTGGGCAATCGCCGCCCATGCCTGGGCACAACAGCGCCTCTCCCAGCGATCCATTTCGACTTCCGGACGGGCCTCTGAAATGGATTGTGGTCGTGAGTAGAGGTTCCACTGTATGCTATTGTGCATTTTTATTGGTTATTTCTTATCATGTAATAATTGAGAGTAGGGCGGGTGGAAGTGAGATCATTCTCACCCATTAGTTAATATGCTGAATTGAATTTTCCACACACTCAGACAGGAGCAGGCAGCTTCTGTTCTATAGAAGGTAGAGGCTTCTAAATGTGGCCAAAACACCCTGTTATTCAAACCTTGCAGAGCTGTGCCCTAGATGAAAATTATTTGACTTCCTCTGAAAGTACTGATGTACATTTCTTGTACATTTAGTACACTTTTTGTTCTCAGCCTCCAAGCATATGTACAATCTCACCAAGAAATAATAAGAAGTGAAAGCAGTGCTTCAGGTGGTACTAAAGAGGAAGCAGGATGGCTTTTAAAAATATGTGCAAGAACCACAATTACCACACCTGACATTTTCTAGAAAATGTCCTACAGGAAAAACACTAGAAACTTAAGAGTAGGCTCAGCCAGGCGAAGGCTTAAGATCACAAGCTGGTTATTTAAATATCATAAATGTGTTGTTGGCAACAGGGTTCCCCTCCCCAAAGGGTAAATCTGGATTAGATGGGTTAAAAATACAGGCTAACTGATGATGTCATGTGAGTGCTGTGAAAAACTTGCATGAGGGGCACCGATCTCAACATAAACACCCATCTAGAAGCACCCTTAGACTGAATTTGAGCACTGATTCTTTGCTTATTCAGAGATATTCTTTTTTCATCTTACCATACAGCAGTACCTCGTGTTATGTACTGAAGTTCTCACCCTGGGCCAGCAGGGGGATACTGTAGATAGTTATGCAAATGAAGGATCGAAAGTGACGTTCAGTGATTGGATAGTTTGTATGCAAATGAAGAATCAAAAGTGACGTTTGGTGATTGGATAGTTTTAGAAAGTTGTTACAGTAACGAGGTTCTGGAGTTCTATATAAGCAGGCTGACTGAGCTCTTCAGTTCAGTTCTGTTCCAGCTTACAAATAAAGAGCTGCTTTGGAGAAATCGCTCTGTCGTCTGCTATGTTCGCCCACAACTTAACACTGGCGACGAGGATGGGATCGATGGACATCAGAGCACAGCCAGATGCGGCCACCCTCTGAACTGAGCTGAATCACTGAGCGAAATCACTGAGCGAAATCACTGAACAGAACCAATTCAGAGCTGACTGTTCTGGCTAGAGCATGGTGTTCCATCCATCGCCCTTCACGCCAGCATTGGAATCATGGCTTCACTTGTGCCTCTACCGCCGTTTGCGCCAGCCTCTGAATCATGGGACTCCTACCTCGCTCAGTACAGGCTAACTGATGATGTTATGTGAGTGCTGTGAAAACTTGCATGAGGGGCACTGATCTCAACATAAACACCCATCTAGAAGCACCCTTAGAGTGAAGGGTGGGGGTGGGGAACCAAGTACACCTTAACAAAATTTGCCATATACTAGTTCCCCAAATCTGGGCGGACTAATTTGCATGATATGCAAATTATTTGCTAATTATACAAATCATGTGTTGGGCTAGGAAATGTTTAAACAGCCACTCTTAGCTCCCAGACTCCAACGGCAAACCATTTCTTGAAACGGATGGTTCAGTTTTCTTTGACACTTTTGGATGCAACATGTATTTGAACTGTGGTTCGGGGGGCTTGGCCCCTGATGTGTGCCTGCCAGGTGCCCTGATTCTCCAGCCTCCCAGGGCAGTGAGTCTTTGAAACTAAGAGCCTCGGTGTGTCTCTTGGGATGTCAAGTACCCTTTCGTCCCCAATCTGTGCTCAAGCCAGCAACTGAGTGCTGCTGTGTTGTCTAATTCAACCCCCCTTAAAAGAAAACTTCTTGCCCTTCGAGTTTACGCATGTATAGTAACAGATGTGAAAAGTCCTAGTCCAATTTTTGCTCCAATATGTGTGGTGGTCAGGGGTAGAGCCAGGCGGTGGAATCACACTCGTCTTCAACATGTTCACTCCTCACCTCAGCTGTATACAGTGGTACCTCAGGTTAGGAACTTAATTTGTTCTGGAGGTCCGCTCTTAACCCGAAACTGTTCTTAACCTGAGGTACCACTTTAGCTAATGGGGCCTCCCGCTGCCGCGTGATTTCTGTTTTATCCTGAAGCAAAGTTCTTAACCTGAGGTACTATTTCTGGGTTAGCGGAGTCTGTAACCTGAAGCGTCTGTAACCTGAAGTGTTTGTAACCCGAGGTACCACTGTACTCATGTTTGCTCCATGCTTATAATCGGCTAAGATCCAGCTTCTTTGACAACTTTTAGAAGTTGTGGTTCTCTTGACTGGTTTTGTTGTCCTTGTTCTTGCTTCTGCGAGCTTCTACGAGTCTATCCTACCTAGTGGAGATAGGATAGGCAGACACTTGGAAAAACAACTTTCGAGTCCTTCAGCTGAAGTGCCATGCACAGGGGAGCCTATTAAACACTTTGCTGGATTTGTGGTCCTTGGAAGAAGATGAAGCTGTCTTCCCACATGCCTGCCTCACAGCTCTGGAACAGTCTGGGCAAGAGCCTGCAGTATTTACATCTAGCCTTGCCTATAGCCTGTTGTGGAGCTGCGAAAGAGGCAAGCATTGGAGAGACAGCTTCATTTCCCACCAGCGATTAAGGCCCCAAATACAGGAGAGTCTGTGTCCATCAGAACTTGTCCAGGGAGGTACAGGCATCTAAGCATCTTTAGCAGCTTTTCGTGATACTGGTGGCACTATGCTCTGTGTAACCAAGTAAGGTGGTTTTATGTTTACTGAAAATAGATGGGATAGTTTTAGATCCTCCTTAACGAAGTAGGAGGACATATTACTCTATCCCAGCTCTATTTGAGCACTGATTCTTTGCTTATTCAGAGATATTCTTTTTTCATCTCACCATACAGCGGTACCTCGGTTTCAGAACAGTCCTGTTCGGTTCGGTTTACGAACTCCACAAAACTGGAAGTAGTAACCCAGTTTGCGATCCTCCCTGGACCTCAGTCTAAGAACGGAAACTGAATGGTGGAAGAGCAGTGGTGGTGGGAGGCCTCATTAGGGAAAGTGCGCCTCTGTTTAAGAATGGTTTTGATTTAAGAATGGACTTCTGGAACGGATTAAGTTTGTAAACGGAGGTACCGCTGTATTTATTTTCCAATTAACTGCTCACTTTCCCCCTTTCTACTTGTAGACTTAGATGAGATAAATAAACTAATGGTGAAGGATAGAAGGATCTGACAATTTCTGTTCCCTCAGTTTCTCTTTATCCCAATCTGAAATTCATTTCTCCACATTTCTGCAGCAATCCGCATTAAGAAAATCCTCAGGAACATTCTTCAGTATTCTAGTGTGAATTTCTCCTAATAAACCTGTTTATTGTATGCAGTTTTGACTAGTGTTTACATTTTTGCAAGCAATTGCTCCGAATATAATGCATTTTTATTTGATTTTCACAAATATATCCAGTATAATCAATGTCCCCCCCCCCGGGGGGGTAGTCAAGGGTACACAATACCAACACCTCTTTTTGTTGTTGTTAAAAAGTGTGGCACTTACTGTAGCAACTTCATTGTGAGTATCAGAACCTGTTTTCTAGGGGAAAAGCACAGATTAAAATGCACTTTCTCCTAAAATATGCAGTTTTGTAAGCATTCATTAATTGGAGAACTGCACCACAAATTTCATATACGTGAGAATTTCAAAGGATGTATGTGTTTTGGTCAGGTGCACTGAGTTCTGCCCAACATTGTGGGCGCCTGATGGAGTGCCCCACTGCAGCACATGACACGTTGGTCCACCCAGCCAGGCACCCACCGCGAAAGTTTTGTGGGTGCCTCAGCCCCCCCCAGCCTATGGTTTCAGTCATTTTTATCTGATTCTCACAAGCAGAAGACAGGGGCAGAAAATCTGTACCATAAAATGCCATGTGAGATTTCATATGGTTGAACTTTTGCCCATACACAAAATTCCACATCACTGGCTGCAGTCATGTGCATGAACAGTAGCGTATAGGGAAACTAGGGAACATGGGAACTACACTTTCAAGCTTTCATTGCAACCCTTGATGCTGCTACATGGTGGGGAGTTATGTAGGTAGTAGAGCTTTCATTAGATCCTTTCTGAGCAAGTGCAGCAGAGTCTAGGGATGGTAGATGTGGAACTACATTTTCCATGATGCCTGGTGGCCTTGAATATAAAGTAGAATCAGCCCCAAATTAGGGACTATGAAAGGCAACAGCATCCATAGAACATGAGAAGTCAGGGAATGAGAAAGAAGCTACAGTAGAGGAACCCAAAATGGAGCCATTAGAGATTGTTCTGGTGTCTGGAAGAATCTGGGTTTGAGTTTAAATGGATCCCGCCCCCGCCCCCGCCCCCAATTATCCAGCCTTGGCCCATCCCTGTTAGATCTGGAAGACAGATATAGACATAATTGCAGGTATTGAGCAGAATCAATATTATTTTATTTCTGGAATTTCACTTCAGCTTGATTTCTGGTGAAGAACTTCCCATAACCTGTCTCTCTTTACTAACCATCAGCACTTGGAGAAAGCATTATATCAGAATAAGTTGGTGGAGCTGGATTGTTTTCAGCAGGGGCCACATCATCTCCAACGATAACAATGGGCACAAGGTCCATGTCCTGAAACACAGGGGAGGTAGATCATTCCAAGAATTTATTTTCATCACTGGCATCATCATGGTGACTGTCTTCAGTGCCAAGACCTTTATCTTCCTTAAAGTAATTATCCCAAATTATTACAAAGCAGAACTCTAGCTGCATAGCTGATGCCACACATCTTCATTTGTAGGTATCTCCCTCCACACCAGACATTCTCAAAAATGCACATGGTTCTTACTATGTATTTAATTGATTGCTGGTGTTTCTAAGCAGTGTACATAAAAATGTAAAAAGCATACAGCAGATAAAAACAATCCATGCAGAGGTTTTCTGGCTACGTCACCAAACAATGGTGGTTGCTCCTCGCTGCCCTCTGCAGGCAGCAAGGAGGTTCAGGCAGGGGGAAGCCAGGATTTATGAGGCAAAAATCCTGGCAATGTTCTCCAGTGGGGTCTGGAGAGCTCAACTGGACTCTAAATAAGAAATTATGTGGCTATGTGAGGAAATGATGATGATCATATGTTTGGAACAGGAGTGGGAAACCTGATTTTAAGAAATTGCATTAAATTAGATTAATTTGGTTTGATTTGTAATAATTTGGAAAATGGGGGGGGGGGATTGGGAAAAAAACCTCAATCTGTGCAGAAAGCAGGCTTGATGAGCCCACAGCTGATGGTGTGTGTATGACTTCAATCATATACAGTAACTGACCCTCAAGGAAAGCAGGTTTGAAGTCACTGCCCACCAGCTGATAGGTGATGACTTCAAGCCTGCTTATCAGTTGCACTTCAAAGCATGGTGAAGGGCCCTTTGCAAGCTCTACATCTTGCTTTGAAGTCCAGGCGATCATCACCTGACATCAATGTGACATCAGGTGATTGACAGGTTGGCACTCCCATCTACCTGTCAGATTTGGCCCACAAGAAGTATGAGAGATAAGGAGCTGGTGTACTGGCCAGATCAGGTTCCCCATGTCTGATTCAGTAAGTATGAAACACCAGGAGCCTCAGATGTAGAAGTGGAAGTGCCTCTCCTGGTGGATATATACCCTCTTTCCCATTCCCCCTTTAAGCTAGTATCACACCACAGATACCAGCTGAAGTTTCTGAGGAAGCTACAAATGCCTGATGCTAGCATAGCAGCATTTTTCATTCAGGTTCATTTGTTTGCATAGCTCAGGTATGGTTTCCTCTAGACGCTGTTGGGCTGCAGTCTTCCAAAGTAACTACTCTATTCCGAACTTAAAAATGGAAAGCGTAATGCTGGTGGTCAATAAAAGAGGTTTAAAGACTGTGTCAAGGCAAATCTAAAAAAATGTAGTATAAACACTGACAACTGGGAAACACTGGCCTGCGAGAGCTCCAGTTGGAGAACAGCCTTTACCAAAGGTGTCATGGGCTTTGAAGACACTTGAACTCAGGATGCAAGGGAGAAATGTGCTAAGAGGAAGGTGTTAGGAGCGTCCTACTCTCGTGTAGGACCTTGTCAGAGACACATGCCCAACTGGCATGTTCTCTCCCTCCTGGTCGATTGTTCGGGAGCTTCAAAAGCTTTCTTTTGCCCAAACATCACAGCGACTATGCCAAAAGGCATTGGCACACTTAGGGATCCACAGAGTATTCGCAGTTTGCGTAACAGAACCAATAGCGCAGCATTTTGGCTAATCTACTTTATTTACATATAATACACTCAGAGCATTTTGACTTAGCTCCTGGCTCTTTCTCATCAGACAGCAAAGAGAGAGAAAACAAAGGACAATAGTCCCACTTCACGGAACACAGTAATACCAAAACATCCTATCTTTGTCACTACCCACACTGTGGGATGAAAACATACACCGTCATGTGAAAGACAACAATCCCATGACTGCAGACACGGGGAATGAATCTCCAACATCAGGTACGCTTGGCAAATCCACACCATGATCAACTCCCGCCCGGAAACCAATGTCCCCACTGTGGAAGGACGTGCAGATCCAGAATTGGCCTCCACAGTCACTTACGGATTCATTGTTAAAACCGTGTTTATGGAAGGCAATCTTACTCAGCTACGAGTGACTGCCAAAGAAGAAGAAGAAGAAGAAGTTCCCACCAACCCCAGCCAGCATGGCCAGTTGTCAGGAATCATGAGATTTGTAGATCAACAGCATCATATTGTCTAGCCCAGGCATTTTCATCTTACCAGCTTTCTAAAACAAATGCTTACCATCTTGTTACAGCAGGTTGCCTGACACCCGAAATGTGCTGTTGGAACGGTGATGCAGAACTCCAGCAAGCAGAACAGGAGATGCACAGTACAAAGCCCGTTACCTACTTTGTTGAAAAGCTGCAGAACAGAGAAGCAGGTGAAATGACAACTCTTATATCAGTAAATCAGTCGTGAGGATAAAATGGGTCTGAGGAGAGCTTCTTGGAGGAAAGGTGGGCTATAAATGTAAAAATTAATGAATTTTTAAAAATGCCTCTGTGAAAGGGTAGGACAGAAATGTTCTAAAATGAATGCACTAGCCTGGATAGTAAGACATCAGGAAGTAAGTTCACTATTGAAACTGTGTAGTATCTGGCGTTATGAGAATAAAAATGGGAGATTATCCTACGCTACATATCTCTGTGTCTTTTCTCATCAACAGAACCTCCTCTCTTCTCCCCAGTTTCTAACTTTCAGCCAACAAAGGGACTCAGTTGTTTTTGAACAAGGATGTCTCCAGATAGGCATCCTTCCGGGTTGGTGTTTCAGAAATAATTTTGAGGTGACATATGATGGCATAAGATGAGAGGCAGCCACCTGAAAATTTTCTCTGAAACACCAACCCAGGAGGTTGCCTATCTGGAGACATCTCTGTTCAGTTTCTACTTGCCTTATAGTAGGGAGAAGGTGTGGAAAGAGGTTCTAAGAAAACTCTCCACTTTCATGTGAAAGACCCAGTGTGGCTATGAGACTATAGCTACAATCGTATACACACTTACCAAAGTTTGAGGAGGCAAAGGGCAAGTATACAGACATCAGAAAGCCCAACCACTAGCTCATAACACCATCAAGTTTGAATACTGGGAATGGGATGGGTGCTCAACCATGGATTAAAATATTGATTTCTCAATTGATTTCCATAGGACGGTTCTTAATTCCATCCCAACATTTATTAATATATTCCCGGTGTGAACCTGGAAAGGACCTAACCAGACAATTACGTGATTCTCTCTGGCCTTTTAATATCGAGGTGGGTCCTCTTTTGATAAGGAAATGTCGTGAACTGGAAAAATGAGAAACTGAAACAGACAGATTTCTCCATCCCTAGTCCCTGGGCATACCTTGGGTTTGGTTTCTTTGAAATGATGGTCAGTGGAAGTGGACAGGATTTATCTCTTCACACACATATACAAGCCAAGGTCCCGCTGCTTTGTTTGATTTACAGTGATAACACTGGATTCTCACAGAAAGGAGATCAGGCCTCTGTACCTTTATAGCCCAGTTCCAAGAATGACAGGCTACTGCTTCCTTACACACACACACACACACACACACACAGTAACAGAGAAGGAAATAAGTCCTGATCCCCAAATGGCTTTCTCCTTTCAATAGAGCCAATGGATTGAGAGACAGGGGCACTGACCACTCTTGCCAGGGCCATGAAGATAATATCCAGCAGTCCTGCTTGTTCTATTAATCCTCTCCTGGCGAAATCTCAGTCTTAGAATCAAGAGGCACAGGGCTGTAAGAGACACTTCAAATGACATCCAAACTAAACCTCCCAAACTTACAACATTAAATTATGATAATGATATTATATGATCAAAGTTATTGTGGGACTTGCTCACTTACCAATGTTCTCTCTGGATAAGGACCGGGATAGCCATAGAAAAAATAGGGTTGATTTATACACAACTGTGCTGTGTACAGAATTATGCCAATTGTTGCCAATGTAGCACTTGTGACCTGCATTCCCACATTGCATTTCACCTGAAAGAGTGATATGAAGGATTAGGATACCAAAAAGTACACACAGGGTGTGTGTGTGGGTGTGTGGGTGTGTGTGTGTGTGTGGGTGTGTGGAGGCCAGCTAATGCTCATGTCAGGTGTGGCTACTGGGCCTGACAGGAAACTGCCTTAGTCACTAACCATAATCAGACCATTTAAAAAACTTACAAAACATGGAAGATGTCTTATATACAATTAGCCCTTAATCTGTACTAATTGTGTTCTATTTTTGTTTGAATTATGGTTTGTTATTGTTTCATTGTCTCTAAGAAAGGTTGCCAATGAAACGTGTTGGGTAATTTACTGTTCCCTACATTTTTCAGTGCTACCCCTCCCCCCTCCCCTCATCTACACTCGTGGTTTCTTAATGATAAAAATGGGTTTTAAAAGGGTTATGATAATCATATAGCCATATGACATTCTTTTAAAACATCAACAATGTGTTATTAAAATGTGACACCAGGTGACACTGCTGAGTTTGCCCTGTCAAGTAAGTGGGTAGACCAGGGGTCGGCAACCTAAGACCCATGGGCCTGAAGTGGCCCATGAAGGCCGTTTAACTGCCCCCCGAGCTGCCCCCGAACCGAGCCACCCACTCAGCGAGTCCCCACGTGCTGTGCTAAACCAGGGGACTCTCTTCCTCAGCTCTGGAAATCACTTCTGTGCATGTCCAGATGCTGGAAATTGCATCTGCACAGGCACAATTTTCGGCATCTGGGCATGGACAGAAGCGATTTTCGGTGCAGCGGACATGTGCAGACGCGATTTCCAGCGTCGCACTGCACCTGTCTGGCCCATGGAGGATCTCTGTGGGAGTGATCCGGCCCATGCCTGGTAAGCCTTGCCAACTGGGGTAGACTGTGCAGAAACAGAAGCAGAGGAACCAAATACTTATTTGTTTTAGAATATCAAAAACATCATTCTAGGAACGTTTAAAGAGTGAGTATAGATCCAGCCCTGATGCTCTCCAGATGATGTTGGAATTAAATTTTTTATCAGCCCCAGCTAGCGTGGCCAAAGGTCAAGGGTGCAGTACTGGTGCAGAATAATCTACTAACATATGGAGGGCACCAAGTTGGGGAAGGCTGATCTAGAGGTATAAGAAAAACAAAATTTATGACCAATACTGGCCACATCCAATATTACAGAAGAAGAGAAAAAGGTATATAGCTCACCAAACTGCGGTTCCTATATTTTGTAGTTGACACAGAGATGGATCCAGCAACAATGAACTGTTCAAAAAAAGGGGGGGGGAGAGATGCATATCAATTCACTTCAAATTTACAGTAAAATACTCTCTACTTAGAAAAACCTGGTACTGTGGGAGTCTTGTCAGCAAAACATTTTGGCACCTGAGGCAAACCACAAAACGATGCCTCCCCTCCCTGCCAAGGAAGAAGGAGCAAGTGAAGATCTAGATCAGGAGCAAAGTTCTAGATCAGGATCTGCTGCCCACATGGATTCTGCTGCCTGAGGCATTTGCCTCACACGCCTCATTAGTGTAGGGGGTGTGGTGACAGTAAACTGTCAATACACACATAAAAAACAAAAAACCCAGCCACGCAATGTGGTTTTATGTTGGATCCTCCCCCCCATTTCCCTTTTTATCCACGGACTGGGAAAAATTGAAACAAATGGGGGGGAGGAGTGCGGATGACACCCAAAAACATGCATGCATGGGATGCATCAAATCCACTTTAAACTGCCATGCGTACACATCCCCAGGCAGTCACGTTGATCCTCCATGTAGTTTCCTGTCCCCCCCCAACAGCCAGTCAACACTCAGCATGCTTAGTCCGCTCGGCTGAAAACCTTGGGGTTTCAGTAAGCCTGATAACTCCACCTTGTGAATGGATGGTTCCATTTCCCTACACACAGTAGGAACATAGGAATCTGCTATATACTAAGTAAGACCCTTGGTTCATTTAGTTCAGAATTATCTACTGGGAGCAGTTCTCCAGAATTTCAGGCAGGGGACATCTCCAGCCATACTTAGAGATGCTGAGACTGAAATCTGGCATCTTCTGCAAGCAAAGCAGATGCTCTGACACTGAGATGTGGCCCTTCCTTATACATGCAAGAGAATACAGCGTTCAGTTTTGTTTATTAAGCAACTGTAAAATCAGCATGCTAAATTAGATCTCAAGCATCTGTTCGGAACTGGAAATTTTCCAATGCAGATTACCCCAGTTTGCCTCAGAACATTTTCCAGAACCAATTCAAAAATTTCTAGATCTGCATCACTGACTTGTAGAATTGAGGTTGCTGTCAGTATATACGACCATGACCAAAACCTTCACTAAAAAAAACATAATAAAATCCACTAGAAACATGTAGCCTTAACAAGACAAGAAAGAGAACAAGGATAAAAAGAAAAAAGTTTTTTGTTACTATTCAATTCTTATTCTTTCAATGATTTTATTTAAAAAATGTTAAGTACACCTCTCAGAAATGTTGAATATTAAGTAGCATATAAACGCCTTAAATAGAGAAAAACCTCTCAAATGCATTACAGCAAAGGAAAGAGATTACCCCTAATAATGTACTGGCATTTCAAAATAATCCAAAGGGCTCCTATTCTTTTATGTTAACTTTCACCACCTGCCTCCTTACTTGAACACATGAGGAAATGTTTTTGAAAATTGCCAAGTCCCAGAGTTTAGCATGCTGGATTCTTAAATGCGAGGCAAAGAACACGATACTTACAAATATTCCACCCCAGCATGGAAAATATGATACACTGGCCAAAGGGGCATAGAATGAGCCCACAATAAAAAATGAGATTATCCCAAAGCCAATTTGTATCAATCCAATCATGATCTGGATGGCCTGTAGGAAGAAAATACACAAACAATATTATTTTTAAACTGTTCCTAGAGACCTGGAAATATAGAATGATAGTTTTTGCTACTATTTTTATTTCACTGTTTTATTTTTATTTTTTTATTTCTTATCATTACTAGCTGCCTTGGGCATGAATCCTGACAATACTGTGCATTAATATTTAAAGGAAACCAATAAATCTGATATGCGCTTACTCTTTAGCACAGTCCAGAAATATCACCTGAACAAAAGCTAGATGAGGTATTTTGATCACTGCAAAAGTAAAAGAGGATCTCTCCTTAACCAGATTTGAGCCTAGAAATGTGAACACCCAATTTTCAATCTGAGGGATTGGGACATAGGAATTTGATTAAGTTCTTATTTATTTATTTATTTATTTATTTATTTAAATAAGATATTTATTAAGATTTTCAAGAAGTTACAAAATAGAAAAGAAATAAGAAAAATACCAAAGAAAAAAGATACAAAAAATTAAAATAAAAATAGTTAAAAAACAATTCAATCATCACATATTTTTCGTTTACTTGTTTCCCGGACCTCCTCGCGCCTTCCTTCTCTGTATTCCAGTTCAAATTATTATTTCAGCAGATCCCTCCCCTCTTTCAAATCCTTTCCCTAATTCATAATATTCTGTCATCACATTACCTTAATCTATTTTCATCTTATCATATATATATATATATATATATATATATATAAAAAGAAAGAATCTTAAAGTTTAGAACTTAAATCTTAATTTTTACCAACTTCTCCTAACCATCACATTCTTACCTAATTCTTTAGACATTTTTATAAGAGCCAAATAATTTCATTTCAACATTTTCCTAACATTCATCAATTTTATAAAACAGTCCTAATGATAAAATAAAAAAGTAAACAATCCAATCTTTGTCCAGCGTCCCTTCCTCCTGGTCCCGGGTTTTGTCAGTCCTTTTTATCCTATTAATCTAGGACATTAACCTGGCCATCTTATATCCGAGGCTCTCAAGTCTCTTCCATGTCCCTTCCGCTGCTCTTCTTCATATTTTCCTTTTATTCGTGGGAACTCCAGCTTGGTGATATTTTTGACCCTTTTCAACAAAAAAGTCCCTTTTCCATAGTCCAGACTAGACTCGATGTAGTATTTAAAAACATGTTCCAGATTCCCTTCAAAGTTAAGAGCCCCCACTGCTCCAAACATCTGGCGGCCCCTTTCCAGACTCGAAAAGTCCAAATCTCCCTGTATAGGGGGGGGTCTATCGCACCCCCCATTTCCAAACCAAATTTTTCCTTTCCAAATCTGGTCTTTTCCAAGTTCATTTGTCAAATCCAAAAATTTATATTCCTGCTGGGCCGCAACTCCTTCCGTCTCTGGCGCCCGAGATTGAGCAAAATCCTCTTCTCTCAACTGTTCTGTCATGGCAAGCTCCTGTTTTAGTTCCTGGGTGGGCTCCATATAGTTTCCCACTACCTGTTTAAAGGTTCTGGCCGCATTAGTCATCAAATCCGTCTTCTGGCTTAACTGATCCAATAGGGCATTTATTTTGCAGAAAGCACCCAACAGTGCTTCTGCAGACATTGTCCTGCAAGGTCACAAACCCTTTCCCACGGTTGTAATCAGTGACAGCTGCAAGTTCCCAGGGATTAGTTACAATTTCACAATTCCCCTCTAGGGGGAAAAACTTCTGGTTGTTCTTTCTCTTAAAAACAATAGCAACAAAGTCTCTTTTTTAAGATATTTTGTCCATATTTGTTCTTTTAAAATGCGAAAGGAGGCAATGGAGTCACTATGTTTCACTTCTTTTAACTATCTGTCAAAAACATTTGTTTCTGGTCAATGAGCTTCAAACGTCAATTCTGACACCCCGCTCCAGGATCAGGACGGAGGAAAATTACTTTGCTTTAGATTCACTTCTGCAGGTTTAAACAACTCAGAAAAGAGATCCCCCTTCCTCTCCTGCTACCGAAGGGGGGGGTTCAGCGATGTTATTATTATTTTTTAAATGATATTTATTAAAATTTCAAAAGAAAAAGATTACATTAATAAGAAAATTAACAATAAAAAGGAAAAATACAAAAGTACAAAAAAGAAAAAACAGTTAAAAACAATTCCATCTTTTCATCACTTCTCTTACATTTACTTGTTTCCCGGACCTCCTCATACCTCCCTCTTTTGTATTCCAGAGGACATTTTTGCGCAGGGGCCATGCTAATCTTCTCTGTATCGTTCCAATTTTAGTATATGCGCTGCCGAAGCGATTTTAAATGGTGAAAGTCAATCCTTTGAAAGTGATTTTTAAGGCTCTATTTTGCTTTGTCTTTGCTTTGTTCTGGCTACAGGCAAACGGAAGGTTGACTTCCTGTTTAAACCTTTCCGTTTCAGTACCAAATTAAGGTGAATTTTTAAGTCCAAATTCCTTTCTATTTCGCCAGTTCTTATTTAAAGTCCAAATATTCAATGTTCCAGTACTCACGGTTGGTTATTTTAGATGCCTAATTGTCCCAGGACAAGGCAGCGCTCTCCGGCAACGGCTATGCGGCTTCGCTCCGCAGAAAAGCGATTGACTCACAGCACCGCGCCACTTCCCCTCTTCGCCCGGAGCCCGTTTGTGGGTTCCTTTGCGGGTTGGGGGGGGCGCTGAGGGTGCCCGCCGAGTCCCACGGTCACAGGCTTCACCCGCCTGTGATTTCCAGAAGGGTCCCCGCTTCGCCGCAGCGGAAAAGACCCATTTCATGCGGAGCTGGTCCCTCCAGTTCGGAGGGAGTCCGCCATTGCCGATGGCGCCACCCCGGAAGTGATTAAGTTCATATTTAAAGGTGAAACTGCTTTAAATGCACTTTCTGAAACAACATGGGCATCGAAACACTTTTCTGAATTTTGCAATGCAGTCCTCCAATCAAATAATGTTTACAAAAATGCATATATTGGAAGAAGGGGTGTGTATAAAATGAACATATCAGTGAAAACAACACACACAAATGTATTATACATGAGGAGACTTGCAAAAATGTGTACATCAGTTAAAATATGTGTATATGAGTTCAACCCAGTCACCAAAGAGAAACAACACATAACTTTCTACAACCTGGCTTTACAAAAGGCAGTGCTTAGATTGGTGTGCCAGCAGTAAGCCTTTATAGGTCTGTAGATCTTCCCTCAGTTCCTTATGCCCTGATTACCCCCAGAATGGGCTGCTCTAATGAGCTTTGTGTGAGTCTGGCTTTGAAGATGGGTTGAAGCTTCTTTTAGCAACTAAAAAATAAACTAAGCACTGTTAAGTTCACACACACACTTTCCACACCCCCATGAGTCATAATCTTTCACTCTGTTCTGCTCATTAGATAGATAGATAGATAGATAGATAGATAGATAGATAAATTTATTGTCATTGTCCGTATATACACAGTATACACAACAACGAAAATCAAACACCCACTCGAAGACCGGGTTCACATACACATTTGCACGTATCTCCAACACTCTCATCCTATTCAGACATAATCTATAAAACATATCATACTCCAGAATGTAACATAACCTATTAAAAGCATAACATAACCTAAAAACCTGTCTCATTCCTCCCTGCTTGCTATTCCTTGCAACTGGCCCTGAGATCATTATTTAGTGCAATCAGAGCTCTTGGATAGAAACTATTCAGAAGGCGTGTGGTTCGTGTTTTCATTGTCCTATATCTTCTGCCCGAAGGCAACAGTTCAAAGAAGTTGTGAGCAGGATGGGTGGGATCTCTCAGGATATTGTGTGACTTCTTCAAAGTGCGAGACGTGAAGATCTCATCCAGGGTGGGTAGTTGGAGCCCAATAACATTCTGGGCAATTTTAATTATTCTCTGTAAAGCTTTTTTATCCGTTTCAGAGCTGCTCCCATACCACGATAATATACTATATGTTAAGATACTCTCGATGGTACTGTGATAATAGGACAGAAGTAGGTGCTGAGATAGATTCAGTCCCCTGAGCATTCTCAGGAAATACAACCTCCCCTGCACCTTCCTCACAACCATATTAATATTTACAGTCCATGAGAGGTCCTCAGAGATATAAGTGCCCAGGTATTTAAAACTACCAACCCTCTCCACCTCCTCGCCATTTATGTGCAATGGTAAAAATACGCTTTTCTTTCTCCTAAAGTCAATTATGAGTTCTTTGGTTTTTTTGGTGTTAAGCATAAGATTGTTTTCTTTACACCATTGAATTAACCCCTGTACTTCTTTCCTATAAGCAGTCTCATCGTTCTCACTAATGAGCCCCACCACTGTTGTATCATCCGCAAATTTGATGATTGTGTTGGACTCATACAGTGGGGTGCAATCAAATGTGTACAGGGAATAGAGAAAGGGACTTAGCACACATCCCTGAGGGGCTCCTGTGCTTAATACTAGAGTAGAAGAATAGTAAGGGCCCATTCTCACTGTCTGCGGCCTATCAGTCAGGAAATTCCTTACCCACAGACAGATCTTCTGATGTATACCCAAATTGGTCATTTTAAGAAATAACCTGTCTGGCAGAATTGTATTGAAGGCAGAACTGTAGTCCACAAACAACAGCCTTGCGTAGGTTCCCTGTCGTTCTAGATGACTCAGTACAGTATGGACAGCGATGGAAATAGCATCATCAGTAGATCTATTTCTTCTGTATGCAAACTGGAACGGGTCTAGAGTGGATGGAAGACCAGCCTTAATATGATCTAGCACCAATCTCTCAAAACATTTCATAACGACAGATGTTAAGGCTATTGGTCTATAGTCATTGACTAAGTGCACTCATTAAAATGCACTTGCACATAATGCCCATAACAGCAATTCCCTTCTGAAGGTTCCTTGGGCTGGAGGTGGGACGGCACAACTACAGAGGACCTGCTTAAAAGCCCACCAACTGCAGTAGTTAGGAAGGTGGGCACAAGAGATCTTAACCCTCCCTGACTCTGCTATTGGCTCAAGCCAGCCATTTCCTCCATTTTTTCAGTTGATAATCTCAACATTCTCTGGCTCCACTTCCCTCAGTGCTCCATGGGTCCTAGAAGTTCACAGGACCTTGCCATACTTTCTTAGTGCTTAAAAACACACACCTGTTTTTTCTTTTAATTTACAAACTTAATGTCCTTCCTCATTCCTGGAGACAAAATTGAGAATGCAGAAAGCACTTCCTTAATTGAGGGTTGTCTTGTTTTGCCTCCAAACTAGTAGGTATGCAGGTACATTGTATACCTGGGGGTCTCAGGAGGAAAATCCTTGGAGTTTCCCTAAAAACATATCGTTAAGGGTAGGCTGTCCCTCATTCATTCCCTGTACATGGGCATTCAGCACCAGAAAAGTGCTTCTCTCTAGGCTCTCCCTGACTCTCCCTGCCCCTCCATCTTCTCCCCACAACAACCCTGTCAAGTAGTTTAGGCTGAGAAATGGTGACTGAACTCTATGGCCAAGTGAGGGGGTTCAATCTGGGGCTCCCTAGCTTTAGTCCAATGCTCTAACCACTACACCACACTGGCTCATGATATGAGAGCTCTGCCTGTTGCATATTTGAAGTGTTGAACTGACAATTGCTCCTGGTGACCACTGAAATCACCCGGGACAGAAACAAGAGCAGATGACATCTGCACTTACCCCTAAAGTCTTAGCCTCTACTTTTACTTTCTTCTCCAGTTCCCTCACCCAACGCTTCCGCTCAGGTTGGTTGCTTCCAAGCTGCTCGTCTATATATTGTGCCACTCCTGGTTGTTGCCCAATGGTAGCATGGATCCCCTGGCCTGCCTGAATTATGTCGGCTCCATTTGGAAGAATGAACGCTATTATTCCATTTTGTCTTCTCACTGGATCTGTTGTCATAGCTGAAATGTCTGCAAAAACCAACCAACAAAAACAAATCAAAATAGCAAACAACCTTCTCTCAGATTTGGACAAATATAACAAACTTTCCCCTACACACAGAAAGAGGAAGTTCCACTTAGCTATGGCCCGTCCATCTGTTTCTATGAATCCGTCACATGTTTGATAAAACCATGTGGGAATAGCACAAATGGCCTGTTTGGCTTCTGAGAAGACAATCCCTCCCCTCAGGCCAACAACCCAAAAAAGAAAAGGGCTGAGAAAGCACCAATTCTTTGTCATAGAGGTCTTACCGATAACAGCAGGAATGGAAAAAATTATAGAGGGGCCGGTCGTTGCTGGTCTTTCAGTAGAGCCAGTGGAGAGTGTAATAGTTTTAAGAGAGTCCCTTGTACATTGACTCAAGCAGTGTCACACCTCCCCGTTCCCCCTGCACCAAGAGAACTACCAAATAGTTGCTTCCTTAAGCAGATGATAAACAGGACAAGATCTGAGGCCAGATGAAACACATACACCATAAATCCCACACACTGAGTCATAGAAGGAGCCACAGTTGCAATCAGTCTTCTTTTACATGCTGTGTACAAGATTCCCTTTCTCAACCCAAACAATTCCCAGAAATAAACCAACGTGTCACTAGACCCAAGCTCCGAAGATTAATCTCCTTTTACACACTATGTACCACATCCCCTTTCTCAACCCAAACATTTCCCAGACATAAACCAACAAGTCAATGGGCCCAGGCTCTGAATATTGTGAAGTCAGATATTACAAGTGCTCAACTCACTGATGGGGAGTGAAGCCTTTACCACCAACCCATAATGAAGTCATGATACTTTGCTGGCATATGTACTCAGAGTCCGTGTGGTCCTTTCCTTTTCCTCTAGTTCAGGCAGAGGTCCCTCCTGCTGACATTGTCAGGGTGATGTTCCACTGAAGGCTCTCATGAAGAGTAGTCAGACTGCAGCACAGCTGAAGCATGAGTTCTCCTCAGGTGCCTAAGGTTCCTTCAGTAGGTAGTTCCTTCCATAGGCTTTGCATTGTAGGAACATGGCTTAGTTCTTTTGCACATCACCATTGCAGGGACCCATTCCTTCTCTGCTTGCATCCAGATTTGGCCCCGTTCCTCAAGGAATGCATAAAGCATTGGTATAATAATGTTGCTTATGGCAGCCTCCAGCTGCTCATGGGCTCCAGTAATGAATAAAAATAACATGACATAAAGTAATCCAACATCACAAATACAACATAAATCATATAGAATAATTAACAAATAATCAGTGAAACAATTACAGTGGTACCTCTGGAGGTGAACAGGATCCATTCCGGAGCCCTGTTCGCATCCTGAAGTGAATGCACCCCGCGACTGCACATCTGCGTGTGCGTGGGTTGCGATTTGCCGCTTCTGCGCATGCGCGTGATGTCATTTTGAGTGCCTTTGCATGCAAGAGCGGCAAAACCCGGAAGTAACGCGTTCTGTTACTTCCAGGTCGCCGAGGAGCGTAACCTGAAAACGCTCAACCTGAAGTGACTTCAACCTGAGGTATGACTGTACAATTTATAAAACACTGTTTACAAAGCAACAACTAATAAAAGCTAAATATCACAAGTACTATTATATGATTAACAAAGCAAGACAGCATTTTTAATCTAATATTGTAAGCAATATGAACAACATTAACAAAATAACAACTAAAAAAATAAACTAAGCACTCTTAAGTTCATACACACACTCTCCCTGTGATTCATAGTTCTTCGCTCTCTTCAGTTCCATAAAATACACACAAAATACACATAGTGCCTGTTGCAAAGCCATCTCAGCCAGATGCCATGACAGAAGGGGTCCTCTGGTAGTGGGCCCTGGTGGAGAAGGGGCTCTTGGGCCTACCACCAGTGGTAAGGTGGTTGTTGATTCTGGGTGGACTGTCCAGGTGCCACTGATGAGAAACTCACCCACATCGGTCCCAACAATCAGGGTGTCCTGATTATCAGGATAATAGCGATCATCAGGAGGTTGATTCCCAGTCTAGGAAGTCCAAGTAAGCCTCCAGATTAGAGAGAAAGGGAATCCTATGCCAGATGGCACTTCCTTATGTAAAAGACTCAGGATTCCCATGCTACCTGCCCTTAAAATGGGTTCCGGTTATTCAAAAGTAAGGGGAAAGCCCTCTGCGACTTTTTGAGAGGACATCAGTATCCTTTACAAAGATGTGTCTTGGATCAATTAAGCACCAGCCCCAAATAAAGTTAAATACCTCTAAATGTACTTACGTTGCCCTGCTTCCTTCACTCTTTCTCAGCCTCTCAGTGTGCCAGAAATCTCACCAGGAAGTAATCAGCATCAGACTTAACCAGTAGATGTCCTAGGTTATTGAACTACTTTAGATAGACAGAATGAATGGAGGGTAATATATTTGTAGGTAGGAGGAGACATCACACTTTGCCAAGGGGACAGCATGGTTTATTTCTGAGACTATTTTATAGCATAGCCAAAAGACAGGTAACCCGTTGCTGCCCTAAACAAAATCTGGAAAAAAGCTGAAGGTGCCTCGGCTATAGTATCATTGTTGCAAAGTATGATTGGAAGTGATGAGGTAGAAATGTGGTTCACTTTGCATGTATAGGCAAATCTACTTAATCTGCCTTTTCCAAAACACCATGCGATCTGAAACATGCAAGCCTTTGAAATGTGTGCATCTCTGAATTTTGTAATGCAGTTCTCCAGTCACGCAATGTGTACAAAATGCATGTACTGGTGTAAGGTGTGAAACCCCCACAAATTAGTGTAAGCACCCACACATGCCTTGTATTTGGGGAAGTTGTGCTTTGCAAATTTGTGTAAATTGGGCAAAACTGAATACCCAGAAATTCATGCTAAATGCTGCTGAATTTTCTTAAGGACTTGCTGGGGGGGGGGGGGAAATCGCCCCTGTCTTCGCTTGGAGTGTTTGTGTGCTTGGATAAAAATTTGAACATGCCTATTACTCAATGTTCTGTGTTCAGAGTTGCTCTCTGATGGAAAATGCCTCAGTTGACTGTTTTGTATAACTTGTACAGTAAAATCGCAACTTATGTGCATTTAACATCTGCAATTTCAACTTTATGCAATTGAAGGCTGTCCGGTTGAAATCACACAAATTAAAGGCATAATAACAAATATTATATTAAATTAATCATACAGGTTGAATTAAATCATACAAATTAAATTAAATCAATCACACAAATTAAAGCTATTTTGCACAGGTTTTTCCTGGCATGGTAAGAGCTTTTAAACTCTCTGCCTTGCTTACCAGGCTCTGGGATGCTCTCGCAAGTTCTCACAGGAACTTGAATGACCCCACAAAATCTCAAAGAGCACCCCAGAACCTGATAAGCTTGGGGGTGGGGGGGACAAGGCCTGTTTGGTGCATGGCTCCAAAAAGGCAAGGCTGCTTGTGCTGGGTTGACCTTTCTGCCTTTACAAGCCATCCCCAGAACATAACCCATGTGATTGTATTGCATTGGTTAATTGTTCATTCAGTCGTAGAAACAGAAACAGTTCCTAGGATACCTTTTAAAAAAAGCAGATTGTGTAATGTGCTTGCCTGCTAATTTGAACATTTGTGTTTGTTTCTCAGTTTCACAGATAACCCACAAATAAGAGAACATCCTGCTGCTTATACGTGTTTTCAGCACAGTACAGGAAGACAGTACACAGACACTTTATTATTCACTGGCTGGAGAAAGCTGAAGAGTGAAAACAAACAATTCAGGAAACACACCAATTTCCTGTGGAAAACCCCCAGTCCAAGGGTAGGACTTGGAGTTTAGATTTTGACCCAAGGTGTCCTTCATGTTTATCAAGGGATGGGGATGAGGGAGAGATAAGCTATGCAGTAGATATACTTTGTACAATATTGCAACATAAGGAAGTTTTTTTACTGTTTCTAGACATCTGCTGCTATGCATATCATATCTAGTAATGTTTCTTCTGGTGTTATATGTGCCTTCTGTAGTTGACCTTTGTAATGTTTTACTTTGAAGTCTTTATGACAACATTTTAGGTTCCTGTTAATTATGTTACTTCAAATGTATACTCATATTTGACTTTTTCTGTCATGTTTTGTTCTGGATTGTTTTATTTGATGTTTTAATACAGGTTGTAAACCACTTTGAGATTCCCCCTCCCTTAAAAATATAAAGCAGATTAGAAACGGAATGACTAAAAATAATTATCGTAGCTTTTAGTAAAAACTCTAAACAGTAATAGCTGCTGTCTTCAATAGCATATCCTCTTTTACTATTTTGCACTTCACAGGTTCTGGAAGGGATTGTTCCCTAAACACAGAAAAGAAGGTTTTACATGTCACTATGGGACACGGGTGGTACTGTGGGTTAAACCACTGAGCCTAGGGCTTGCCAATCAGCAGGTCGGTGGTTCGAAACCCCGCGACAGGGTGAGTTCCCGTTGCTCGGTCCCTGCTCCTGCCAACCTAGCAGTTTGAAAGCATGAAGTGCAAGTAGATAAATAGGTACCACTCTGGCGGGAAGGTAAACGGCGTTTCTGTGTGCTGCTCTGGTTCACCAGAAGCGGCTTAGTCCTGCTGGCTACATAACCTGGAAGCTGTACGCTGGCTCCCTCGGCCAATAAAGCAAGATGAGTGCTGCAACCCCAGAGTCGTCCACGACTGGACCTAACAGTCAGGGGTCCCTTTACCTTTACCTTTATGAGGTATACATCTGAACCCACATATGTGTCCACCACATTTCCAAGCGGCTTAGAATCTTTTGCTGGAGTTAAAACGTGTGTGCATTATGAACATGTATTTCTGCCCTTGATCTTATGCCCAATAAGGCATTCACACATCAGAGGAATAAAGGAAGATTGGTTTATTACATGAAATGAAAGTGACATTAGTATATGGGTGCTATTTCAGATAGCAAGGTTACAAATTTAAGCATGCAGCAAATCATACAGCACACAGACCTTAATTAGGAGAATAAAAGGATCCCAAACAATCCGAAAGCCTGAAGGGCAGGTGCAGCCATTTGCCACAGCCATGCACTAAAAGTAAAGTGAAAGAGAGAAGGGAAGGATATGCCTGTCCTGATGTAAGCAGAACCCAAGTCGGGGTTCAGGGGTCTGTGCCTTCCATTCGGGAGTTCTACTCTCCCTGTCAATATCCTATACCAAAGTTGCAGCCACAGCACATAGCCTAGATGGGCAGATGACAAAGAATGTTAGGAAATTGGTAATGTTGTATTTTTGAGATTGCTGGGTTGTTAGTGAGATAGCAATGAAAACCTCTATCTTAGCCTCTTCACAAGGGTTTGAGGGAAGACTACGCGTTGTTGTTATTGGCTGGAGGATCAGGATTGCCTTCTATGGGACTTACATCTTGTTTGAAGACAGGAGATGGCGATACAGTTGTGGCCTGAGAGACACACAAAATTAATTTACTATATAATAAATAAATAAATAAATAAATTTTTATTTATATCCCTCCCTCCCCAGCCAAAGCCGGGCTCAGAGTGGCTAACAACAGTAAAATAATACATATGAAATTTATTCATTGTTATGATCTTTGTTTTCATCCTAGCATCATTTCCTGCAATATTCATCACTGCAATATTCACCACAGCAATATTTATTAAAACAATTTCCCTTATTTCTTCCAGTGTATTAGAACTCTTACTGGTCTCCCTTCTTTTATGACTGAATGACCAAACATGTTGGAATAATCCAAAGGATTCTTACTGCTAAGGGCATGAGCCTGCTTGATTATGCTGAACAATTTTTAAAACTATGTTACGGCATGATTGGAAGGCAATTGTGATGCTTTGTGTCCTAATAAGTAAGTGATGCTTGTGTCCTAATAATTAAGTTATGCATCATTTTTACAGCATCTAGGGTCTAACTGAGGTTACAACATAGTTCCTATTAGCTAATAAGAGGGGGGTCAGTGGTACCACACATATTTTGAATCTAGAGAAGGTCTTAGATTCAATCCAGTTAGAAATATTACAGGTAGCAGTGCTAAAAAAACTGGAGACCCAATTCTGGTCACACTGGACCAGGAGCTCGAACTCCCACCAGTCCCAGCAAACATGACCAATTGTCAGGTTGATGCGGAGTCCAAAAATATCTGAGGCAGCATGTTGGCTGTCCCTGCACATTTCCAAACAAGGTACCAATTTGTTTTTATAAGGCCCTCAGCATTTTATTGTGCATTTACCCTTATAAGAACATTTTTGCAAGCAATTAGCGCTCATATAATGCATGTTTATATATAATTTTCATATGCCTTTTCATATGCACATCCCATTAATATTCACATTATTTTGGTAGGAGAACTACATAACACTTAGAGATCTACAAAGTTTGAAGAATAGCACCTCTCAGGTGGGCACCATTGTCATTATAAAAGGACAAGGTTGCTGTTCATGGTGAGTTCCGGCACCTCTTTTTCTAGAAAAATAGCACTGCAGCCCAGGGCTTTCATGAAGTGTGAGTTAGGAAGGTTCACATTAAAATATGAACCAAACCAAACTTCTCTCCCACACCTAATGGGGACTGATTCAGAAATCAAAACTGAAATGAACGCATCTTCTCATAGAGAATCACACCTCCCCATGTACAAAATTGTTGATTTCGGTTGAGGAGAAACTATAATCTTATGAACAAGAAGGGTAACCTTGAGAGAAGACTTGCCGTCTACTCTTGGGAAATGAGAAATAAGTGCAGAATAAATGAGTTGCTTGAACAAGACACAAAATGTCCTCAAAATAGCCTGTGGCCATGGATGATGAGAGTCAAAATTCAACAACATCTGGGGGCCCAGTGTTGAAGAAAGCTGTTCTAGGCTGCAATAGACTCAGGATCCAGACCCAGCATCTATGATGGAATACCCCTATAGATTGAAGGAGGCTATTCATATCCACAAATAAATAAATTCTCCGTACCATCTTCTCCTTGGACCTTTAAGAATGTTCCTCTTAAAACTTGAAAAAAGATATTGAAATGCTTACCATGTCGCTGCTGGCTGCCTTCATCCCAAGATGTGCTAAGGAAACCGTGATGGCTAACTCCAGCATGGTGAGCAGGAGGAGAAGGACAGCGAGAGCAGTACCTGCAGACTACGCAGCAGAGAACCATGAATTGCATTATGTACTTGTCCCTCCTACAAATTTGTCCAGTTGTAGCATTGAATTACGTCCTGCCCTACAACCTACTCTTAAAAAGCAGCTTGGGAACAGTTGGGGACAGTGAGGTGGTGACAACTCTGATCCATTTGATTAAAGTGGAAAATGCACACCTGACAAGATTTTATAGTCTGCTATACTTGGAACACACACGAAGCTAAAAGCATGTGAAGGCTCTTAATCTGGAATATGACATATTCTTGTTAATTCATTTTACACTGCATCACATTGTATTACATTGTACTACATTGCTAAATCAGCTGTACAGTCAAACCTCAGATTTGACAACTGAGGTTTGACTGTATTATGGATCCACTAAAGACAAGAGCAATCTAAGGAGCCCATGAGAGAGTACCCTCACATAGCAACCCTCCCTTGGCATTTGCCTCAAATGCTTTTAAAACCCAAGGGCCTGCTGATGACTAGCATCCTGCAGAACAGCATAGCGAACTACACACGTCACACCATTATTTCAGAACCAGATTAAATGGAAGGAGTCCATCATAACTTTGGAGGACAAGCACAATTGCATTCTCTCTTGAAATGGCATGTGAACACCGGTGTACACGATTTTTTCCTTCACCCCCTACTAACAATGTTGGATATTTCCGTTCCACCTTAAAAGGGAGCAGGCTGTGAGCCACAGAGTCTGCGTATTTCCTGTTCACAGGATGTTTATGTTTTCTGTTGCTTTCGTTTTCTCTCTGTGTTGGAGACACTGACGCAGGCAGTCATGTCTTTCTTTGTTCTGATCAACGCTGAATAAAACTTGTAAATAATGCTCTCCTGAGTGCGACTTTTGCTGTGACTATCTGCTGATAGAGTGTGCATGAGCTCTGGAATGTGGCAAGATATTTTCTAGAAACTCATGTCACTAATTGCTGACACTGCGTGCCTACGGGAGATCGATGGATCGTCCGGCAGACGGCTTGGGGCCATGATGGACTTTGTCTCCCTGGCAGTATCCCAACAGGTAGTAGTCTTCATTGCGTACATCTTTGCCATCCTTCAGCTGTATCGGGTTGGCTAACCTTTGGTCCACTGGATGTTGCTGGATGACATCTCCCCTCACAGCTTTACTGTTGGGCACGCAGAGTGGGGCTGATGGGAATTGGAGTCCAAGAACTGGAGTTGCACTCAATGAAGGAGGCATTGAAGTGCCAAATAAAGTGGCTAGCACTTTGGGTTAAACCACAGAGCCTAGGGCTTGCCAATCAGAAGGTCGGCGGTTCGAATCCCCTTGACAGGGTAAGCTCCTGTTGCTCGGTCCCTGCTCCTGCCAACCTAGCAGTTCGAAAGCACGTCAAAGTTCAAGTAGATAAATAGGTACCACTCCAGAGGGAAGGTAAATGGTGTTTCTGTGTGCTGCTCTGGTTCGCCAGAAGCGGCTTAGTCATGCTGCCACATGACCCGGAAGCTGTACGCCGGCTCCCTCGGCCAATAAAGCGAGATGAGCGCCACAACCCCAGAGTCGTCCGCGACTGGACCTAACAGTCAGGGGTACCTTTACCTTTACCTATAGGTTAATCCATTGACTCTTAGCTGAAATAGAACAAATATCTGATGTGCTGAAAGTGAGGAATTTCTCCCAGACTCACAAGTTTGCCAGAATTCCACATTTCTAAAGGCACAACCCAAAATGCTAAGAAAGGACATGCATGGTCAAAAGAACCACACAGGCAGTTTCAACTTTACTTGCTGTTTTCTCCACAGTATTCCCCACTGCCTCAGAGACAAGCTTTTTTTTTTTGAACTAAGCAGTGGCTGGTCTCCTTTGCTGTAGGAACTTGTGCTTTGAAAACAGGAAGCGAAGCTCAAGGTAGGTGCATGAGTCTTTCCCATTGACACAACTGGATGTTGCCTGTAAAGTCAATGTTTTCCATACTTGTATTTGCTTGTTAACTTACCTGCAGAAAAAAGCCTTCAGAATCACTATAATCTCTTTTATTATTTATATCTATCTCCATTGCATATAGAATGATGCCAATTGTGGCCATTATAGCACTTGTGATGTTCATTCTCACACTGGACATAACCTGAGAGTGAGAGAGAGAGAGAGAGAGAGAGAGAATGAGTTTACCAACAAAAAACTTAACTGCCTTAAATTCACCACCCCCTCTACCCTTGATTTCTAACCTGATTTGCTGGTGAGCTGTACTATTCCTCTGTGGACATTATCTAGTTCACACTGCAGAGCAGCAAAGGCCAAGCCAATAGACCCTTCTGTCTCATAAGTAACCTGGTGTCCAGGGAATAAAGTGTCTGTCCCATGTTGCCAGATTCCCAATACCCTACCCCACCCCCTTGGGATAAAGGTTCATGGAATCAAGAGTTAGGATGGAGAAGAAGGGAAGAAGAAAGAGAAAACATTCTACATCTCACCAAGGCTTTGTTTGGGTATTTCTCAGCTGCCACAGACAGTGATCCAGAAAAAATGAACTATCCCAAAAAAAAAGAAGAAAATGCATTTTACTGCAGTTCACTTAAAATTCCAGGAAAATCAATCTACTTCCAACTACATAGTACTATGGCATAATAGGAGTGATGTCAGGTGATAGTATATTGTGAGGACAGGCGGAGACCCCCCAACCCCGGGCGACACCCAAGTGGAATAATGACTCAAGACAACATGCTATGGGATTAAAATTTGGCCACAACTTTCTTAAAGCTTCAAACGTAGGGAGACCTTGGCTTAGGCATTGGGTGTTTACCCCTCCCCTGGCCAGGGATCCGGGGAACATCAGCATTATCCAGAATGTGTGGGGATTGGGCTGGCTCTGGAGAACGTCTGTTCAAGCAGAGAGCCCGCCCTCCATTTCACCGCCATAGCAGGGGAGAGCAATGACAACCTATTGGCGTATGGCCTATGCCTCCCCTCAAAACAACCCCTTTAATGGGGAACCCTGGGATCGCCACCGCAGGGGGGGCGTGGGTCACCATTTCATGCCCCCCCTCATTTAGGGAAGATAGACTAAAGGATTCCGCCCAAGGCCTGAAACCGCCAAAGTTGAGATGTTTTGATACGGGGAAGGCAAAACCTGCCAATGCAGGAAAATTCCTTTCCAGCCCTTCAACACTGACCATAACTTAGCAGTGCCTGCGTACCTGTGAAGAAGAGGTTAACCTGCAAAAGAAGCCTTAACTGAGGGAGGGCAGGGTGGAAGCCAACTGAAAACTCCCAGGTAAGTTCCACCACAATAGTGGGTGTGGGCAGGGCGGTCCCTCCCCTTACCTGGCCAACTCTTTCCTGGCAACGCCTCTCCAGCTGGCACTGGTTAACTGGCAGAGGTAGGCGGCTACCTCCAGGTGTCCAGCTGGGGGGGGAGGTGAATCCAGGCTGTACTGCCGGGAGCCGCATGGGATCGGGGTGTGTGTGTCTGCACATGACCACACAAAATGCGCCTCCCATTTGATGTGGGGAGCGGTCATTCTTTTCCCTTATGGGCAAATCGTTAACTGAATCACCTCTGAAGACAGATGTGAACTTGTATATAACATATACATGCATTTCTGTCATTTTTTTTTAGAATTCAGGGCATGACACATTATTTCCTTTCCTTTCACTTCCTAATAATTCTATGACAATTCCATTTTGCAGAAATAAAGCAAAGGGTGACAGTGGATTATTTTCCCTGCTGTTAGGCATCTGCACCCAAAAAGCCAAATGCTGAAGAATAGCCATTCTAATGTAGATCTCTTCCTCAAGGTTTAAAGTCACAGAACCATGGGCACTGAAACAAACTTCATTCTCAAAGGTGCGTAATACTTACAAATATTCCACTCCAGAATGGATAGCCTGTAATAGAAGTGAAAAGTTTGTAGTATCGACGAAAATGAACAATTACAATTGTCCCCAAGCTAATGTAGATCAGTCCCAGCATGACCTGGATGGCCTGTGAGAAAAAAGTACAGACAAGATCAAACATTCCCCTCCAAGGTGGCTTACATATTAAAACAAGAGTACATCAACTGTGAGAGAACAAAACAACATCCTTGAAACTCCCGAGTATTCTATAAAAATTCTGCTGCTCTTCAGATATTGCTGGTCCCCAACGCCCATCAGCCCCCATGGTCAATGGTCAAGTATGGTAGGAACTGGGGTCCAACAGCCTCTCAAGAACCACAATTTAACCACACTTGCTCTGAAGCACGTTTTATTAATAATAAAAAGGAGAAGAAATCCCCTCTAAAAACTGCTTAAAACAGCTTTCCAAAAAGGTGTGATTGTGGTGGACTTCTGGATGCCAACATGTAAGAAGTTTCTGAAGCCTGGGGCCACCACTGGAAATCCCTACTGCTGAGTGAGTAAGTAAGTGTCCATGGGACAGGGCTGCCATACGTCCAGATTCGGGCCTCAAAAAGCTCAACAACTTTGCCAAAAAAAGCTTTGGATTTTCACTTTTTGAAATATGGCAACTCTACCATGGGATTGAAGATTTGCTCTGCTCTTCTCCCTCCCCACTCCTGCTAAGAAGAGGCATAAAGACAGATAACGAGAGATACAAGAAACCTCCACATGTTCTTTCTATCAACTCCGGCTCTCTCTTGGCCTTGAAAACTTGACAGATACAACTTTCACATGGTGAATATAATGGGTGCCTTGGACTATCAGTTTTCAGAACCCAATCTCATCAGGAATTACCCTGAAAATTTCACTGCTCCTCTGTATGTTTGAGTCAGTTGGCCAGTCAGTTAGTGAGGGCCGAAAGTATTGAAATATCACTAACAAAGTCACATTGGACCAGAGGATAATCTGGTTGAATCTTTGTCTGGTAGTACCCTGGTAAGATACCCCCATGAATCAATTTAGTCCTTCCTATACTCTTGGCAGGAAAGTACCACCATTCCATGGACCTGAACATATCAAAGAAACTTACCCCCAGAGTCTTGATCTCTATTTTATGGAGTTTCTTCAACAAATCTTCTTGCATCTGTTCGTTGTTGGACCCTCCAGGCTGTTGGTCTACATTTTGTATACATTGCACTGTCCCTGCTGGTTGAAGTCCAGGGAAATCCTGACCTGCTTGGATAGCACCATCAGAGGGAATCAACACTACTGTTCCATTAGACTTGATCACTGGATCTGTTGCCATAACTGAGATGTCTGCAAAATGCAACCCATTTGGGGTGGGGGGTGAAAATTTCAGCCTCAATTTCCTAAAATATTAAAGCGACACGGCAGTACCCTTTAGTTAAGGCAATTGGCAAACAAAAATAACACCCTTGCCATGATAAGCCTCACAATCCTATAGCTTATAAAAGTGATGCCTGCAGAGCCAATGACTTAAAATTTTTGGATAGAGATAATCTTTCATTAGGACCATCAACATTTCGTAAGTCAATGCAGGATAAAAAAACAACAGTATCTATACTGGTCACAGACATTTCACCCTCCACATCTGGATTTAGGTAGATGGACCAAGGAAATTTGTGGGTACATGGAGTCATAAGAAAGCACAATTTGTGACATTGCACATCATTATTGATCATGGAGTCTGTTAAGACATCAACCTTAGCTTCCAGTCTTCTAGCTGTGTAGAGCTGGAGTCAAGATGAGAGGTTTTTTCACCATAATCTCTAGTACACAGTACACAGTTCTGACTTCAGTGAGAGAGTCTGCTCTTGAAATCTGAGACCCACAGCAAAACTCTTGACTGTTAACAAGGCTGGCCCGACACCTTTCCATAATATGAGAATCAGGGTCAGCCCAAAAAGTTTTGCTGCTGGAAGCAGACCATTAATTATTTATCCAGCACTCTTAGGACCAACTCTAGTAAACACACAAAAGTAGTATAGAATTCAAACCTTCCACAAACTCCAATAAGGTCAGATGTACCTTCAGTTCTTTGAAAAGGTTCTGGTTATTCAACAGTGAAGGGAAATCCCTCTGCACGTGCTCAGAAGCACTTGGTTATTCCTTCAAGTCTTTCAGAGCTGAGCCTTGGATCAGATTAACTACTCTCCCCAAATAACTTAACTCACATCTAAGCACATTACACCCCCTGATGTGCTTGTACTCAGCCTGATAATCTCTCTACAAAGCGATAATGAAAACAGTGCTTATTGTTGGAAAATAGGAAGTAGGATGGTGTTGTTTTAAGTTATTCTTTTTAGGATGTGGTTTATCCAACCAACCAAGTATTTGCAAACTTGCATTAGTGCAATAAGCCTAATATTGCAATAAGCCTGATATTGCTGTAATCTTCAATTTGTAACTACAGATAGTTACAATAAATGAAGTCAGCTATTATTCAGATCTAATGTTACACATGACATACCTTCAAAAATGCTTTTTAAATATATTTCCCTCATTTTGCTGATGTTCTTATTATATTTTTTACCTGCCCTTCAGCAGCATGTCCAGGGTGAGTTGCAACAATTTAAAAATCATCATCATTATTATTATTACTTTATTTTGTGTAGCTGAAGCCATTATAAAAAAAGAAAAATACATAAAACAGAACGAACATAGAAAAGAATACATTACACAGTTAAAATAATTATTTAAACCAAACATTTGCTCAGAAAAGAGTTTGCTCCCCTGAAGTACTTATCATCTCCACAAATGTTTCTCCTTAAAATTGCTGCTCTAAAGTCAAAACAGGTCACTTTTTTTAGAGGTATTGGGGACTCATCCCCTAATAAAAAGTTAATTAAGTATCCAATTGATCTCTCTATTTGGAGATTTAAATCTTTAAACAAGACTGCTCTTAAATTTTTGTAGATTAGGTAAACAACTAAGTCTTTGGGTAAGTCTTCAGGCACATTCCCTCCATATGGGCAAACTCTCTCTTCATAGCAACAGTGTCCTTCAACTATGGCAGAGCGGATTGACTGAAGCCGCAGAGCTGCAAAGTCTTTTCTTCATTTGATATTTGTGATGCTGGTTACATAGTGCGGGCACAGAGTCTAAATGGGAAGCTTGACATACAAAATGGCACATTTAGACAGCCAGGCAGAAGTGTGATCAGCACAAAAAGCATGCTTTGAAATGTGAGATTTCATGTGGTGAGATGCCATCGCAAAGCCTAATGAATTCAGAATGTCCAAAGAGTGGCTGTATTCGCTCAATAACTTGTAGCATTTCTTGATTCCAAGATGGGACCGCTCTAATGTTAAGATTCAGCATCTCCTTGAAAGCAGAAATTACAAAAACGGGCCTTATCCCCCTGACCTTTGAGGCATAGCTTCTTCTCCCAGTTCAGATGGCTCTGGCAGGTGCCTAGCTCTGCCTCTAGCACAGCCACTTTCTCCCACAGGGTCACCGCCTCGGCACTCGACGATGGAACTTCGGACATCCTTCAGCTTTTACTGCAGATGCAGCGGCTGAACAAAGCAAGCCAGAACCAAGCAACCGTAATGACTGCTAGTCAGTACCCACATCCCCTCAGCGCCCCTTGCAGCCAGACAGCAGTCTTGTGAAAGGCCCCGCCCCCTTCACTCTCTCACCCACTGCTTTATTTATAGGGGACCCACCGAATGAGATATGGGGGAATGGTGGAAGACTTTCTTAGGGGCATTCAAGTGACCCAGATCTTGTTTTCATAACAACAGGAAGTGCTACCATATTGAATGGGGTAGAATGTGTTAGAGTGAAGCACAGATCAGAACTTCCAGTAACACGTTGAAATGCTGTACTGAAGTGAAGACCCCTTGGGAATTCAGACCTCTGTGTGACAAAATGAGAAACAATAATGGCTTAAGGGTTTTTGTTAGAGTTCCAGCATTTTCAGGGCAGTTGGAGACTATGCAATACCGAAGGGCAAGGATACATACTCCAGCCTTCACGGAACAAAGACCACCTTCCAAACAAAGCATGGAAGACTCAGTTCCCTTGGAGACTTCAGTCCACATTGCTTAAAATTTTGAGGTCTAGTTGACCCAATTTGAGTTGCACGACTCAAATTTATTATTTTTTTGTTTTATATATTTCAACTATCCTAAAATTTGAGAGTCAGTAGCACATATGTTGTAAAGGTGTGGTGATCTGTCATGCAACAGCCCCATTGAAGAAGATAACAGGGGTTACCCAGACCTTGTTGCTAGTTGCAAAGGGGTCCCCATAACAGTTCAAGCTTCAGGGCCCCCAAAATGTAGGTCCACCACTGTATAAAGCAGCTGTCTATTGATGGACCTCTATCCTAGCAGCTCTATTTACAGAAATTAATATTAGCAGTCACTTTCCCCCTCAATGGAATATTTGTATAGTCATTTCTATATTTAAGAAAGATGATCCTAGCAAATCAGCCAATTATCGCCCTATTAGTTTGTTGCACATCTCATTGAAAATATATAACAAATACTTGTTAAATAAATCACATTATTGGCTTGAGTCTAGTGAGATGATAGCAGAAGAACAGGAGGGTTTATGTTGTAATCACTCAACTACTGCTCACTGCTTTGTACTTTCCCATCTGGTACATAAATATGTAAAACTCAAGTGCAGATGTTTATTTGGAGTGTTTACTGACTTTTCAGCAGCTTTTCAAATCAGTATTAAAAACAGATAAAATAATTTATTGTCACAGGAAAAGGGAGGGTTCTATTGTGTGTAATTCCTCAGGTACTGGAAGAAAGAGAAAGTACTGTCAGAATGGCGATGTCCTTTCCTCATAAACTTGTTGAAATCACTGTAGTTCTCAATTACATTTGTACGTATAGATAAGAGTTACAATAGTCAAAGAACATTCAGATTTAATATCACACATGACATATCTTCAAAAATGCTTTTTAAAGCTATTCTCCTTGTTTTGTTTATGTTCTTATTAAGCTTTTCACCTGCTCTTCAGCAGCCGGTCCAGGGTAGGTTCCAACAATTTAAAAATCAGTATTAAAAACAGTGAAAATAAATTTACTGTCACAGGAAAAGGGAGGGTCCTATTGTGTGCAATTCCTCAGTGGATGTGTGTAAATTATCACCACAGGAAGAAAAGGGAAGTGCTGTCAGCATGGCAATGTCCCTTCCTCAATCGCCCATCTGACAAAATCTTCTTGCTCAACCTGTAGTTGAGGGCCAACATGATTATAGGAATACCAAGTTCCTCATATGAGACATGAATGCATGCTCATATCCTACCACTGATATGCTCAAAATATTAGACGTGTATTAAGCACTTGAAGGTTCTTCGGTTAATTGTCAGTCAACACTTACCACGTACTCTCCAAAGTCTTGTACTGATTTATCTACCGATGTTTAATGCTTTAGACAACGTTCAGGCCTGCTTTGGTTATTTTTTTTTTTTGTACTGAAATGTGTTGTATCAAAAATCTTCATGCTATGCACTAGTTCACTGCACATTCCCCCGATTGTGTGTTATGTGCTTTTGTTGAACAATACGGGAAACCCATCCTAGAAACCTACCAACTAATTCTATGGCCATTACATCCCCACCCCACATATGACTTTCTCTGACGAGAAGGGCAAAGTTTTTTAAGGGGGACTCATCATGTAGCTGGCTACCATTTCAAGATCCCTTCAAAATGACACCTCTTTGTAACGTTTTGTGGCATTCTGTTAAGAATAGCATCCCTGACTGGCTACACTCAAGGGCCGCAAGACGAAGTTGAGATTAAACAATTTTTGGCAAAAAATGGACTATCTAAACTGTCACAAGAAAATAGGACAATCCTGAATTCTAAAATAACACGACAGGAGATTGAACAAGCCATCCAGAACATGCAACTCGGCAAATCTCCAGGGCCAGATGGGCTGACCTCCAAGTACTATAAGACATTAAAAGACTATTTGATACAACCTTTGATGGAGGTCAGCAATGAAATTATGGAGGAAGAGGGCACCGGAGTCGTGGAAGGAAGCGTTCATCACATTAATACCAAAGTCGGAAGCTGAAAAGACACAACTTAAGAACTACCGTCCCATCTCCCTTTTAAATGTGGATTACAAAATATTTGCAGACATTTTGGCAAGTAGATTTAAAAAAGTTTTAAATGAAGTAATCCATAAGGACCAGGCTGGCTTTCTCCCAGGTAGACATCTGTTTGCTAATACAAGGAACATCATTGACATTTTGGAACTTTTGCAAACAGATATAAATACAAAAGCAGTTTTAATTTTTATAGATGCGGAGAAGGCCTTTGACAATATCTCCTGGAAATTTATGAAGGGAATTTAAAAGAGATGGGAGTGGGACGGGGTTTTGAGAATGGGATTGAGGCGATATATTCAGAACAGAAAGCTAAATTGATAGTTAATAATGTGGTTACAGAAGAGTTCAAAATTGAAAAAGGGACACGACAAGGTTGCCCTATTTCCCCTTTGTTATTTATCTCGGTTCTGGAAGTGCTATTGAACATGATTAGAGGGGATCGGCTGGTGGAAGGAATTCAGGTCGGTCAGAAACAATATAAATTAAAAGCTTTTGCAGATGACCTGGTTTTGACCCTGCAGAAGCCAGAGCCCAGTACGAAAAGAGTATTACAACTGATAAATGACTTTGGTCGGGTGGCTGGATTTAAATTAAATAAACAGAAAACTAAGGTTTTGGGGAAAAATTTGACAGATACAGAGTCAGAACGGTTTCAGAATGAGACGGAACTTAATGTGGTTAAAAAAGTAAAATACCTAGGGGTAAACATAACAGTAAAAAATCTAAGTCTATTTAAGGATAACTATGAAAAATGCTGGTCAGAAATTAAGAGAGACTTAGATAGTTGGTCAAAACTGAAACTTTCTTTGTTAGGCCGAATTGCTGCTATTAAGATGAATGTATTGCCAAGGATGTTGTTTTTATTTCAAACACTTCAGGTTTTGGACAAAGCGGAGTGCTTTCAGAAGTGGCAGAGAGACATTTCTAAGTTTGTCTGGCAGGGCAAAAAGCCCAGAATTAAGTTTAAGATATTAACTGATGCAAAACAAAGAGGGGGCTTTGCCCTGCCAGACTTAAAGTTGTATTATGAAGCCGCAGCGTTCTGCTGGCTAAAAGACTGGCTACTTCTTGAGGACACTGATGTGTTGGATCTGGAAGGGTTTAACAATGCCTTTGGATGGCATGCATATTTATGGTATGACAAGGTTAAAGCAAATAAGGCCTTTAAGAACCATATTGTCAGAAAATCATTGTTTAATGTCTGGATAAAATATAAAGACTTGCTGGAAAATAAAACACCAAGGTGGCTTTCACCTCTGGAAGCTAAGGCCCGAAAAAGACCCAATATGGAGGCTAGATGGCCAAAATATTGGGAAATACTAGAAAAGGATGGAGACAATTGGAAATTGCAGAGTTTGGAGAAAATGAAAGACAAAGTGCGAGATTGGTTACACTACGCTCAGATTAAAGAAGTTTTTAAAAATGATAAGAAATTAGGGTTCCAGGTGGAGAAATCGAAACTAGAAACAGAATTGTTAGAACCAAAGATTAAGGTACTTTCAAGGATGTATAACTTGCTGTTGGAATGGAATACACAAGATGAAACGGTTAAATCGGCTATGATAAGGTGGGCACAGGACATTGGGTATAATATTATGTTTGAGGACTGGGTAAGGTTGTGGAGTAATGGATTGAAATTCACTGCATGTAACGCTTTGAAAGAAAATGTAATGAAAATGATTTATAGATGGTATATGACCCCAGTCAAACTTGCAAAAATTTACCACCTGTCTGATAATAAGTGTTGGAAATGTAAAGAGTGTGAGGGAACGTTCTTCCACCTCTGGTGGACTTGCCCTAAAGTGAAGGCGTTCTGGGAAATGATTTATAATGAATTGAAAAAGGTATTTAAATATACCTTCACTAAGAAACCAGAGGCTTTCCTCTTGGGTATTGTCGGCCAAGGGGTGGCAAAGAAGGACCAGACATTTTTTATGTATGCAACAACAGCAGCAAGGATACTTCTCGCAAAACATTGGAAAACTCAAGATCTACCCACACTGGAAGAATGGCAGATGCAACTGATAGACTACATGGAACTGGCTGAAATGACCGGCAGAATTCGTGACCTGGGAGAAGAGAGGATGGAGGAGGATTGGAAGAAATTTAAGAACTATCTACAAAAATATTGTGATTTGAGTGAATGCTAAATAAGATGCTAGATTAAAATAACTGAGCACCACTTAACTTAGAAGTTTTTAAGAAAACAAGTAAGACTGTGAAAGTTTAACTCTTTTTGAGAATTATAAGACTATGAAATATTGAAGGGATATAAGAATTCAAATAAGATGATAAATTGCTGACAAAATGTTATAACGATGAAAGTGGGAGCGGGAGATGTGAGGAAGTCCAAAGAAAATGTGAAACTATGTTAAGACAAATGTTATATTGTTTATTATGTTTATTCTTATTGTAAAACCCAATAAATTGCTTTAAAAAAAAAAGCATCCCTGACTGGCAACAGCCATTAAAAATGGGCTTGATTCCCTCATTCCCCAAATAGGGGAGCCATGCCTTGGGTAGAGTGAGGCAGCAAGATGTGTTTTTTCCTTTTAAAATATTTTTTAAAAACAGCTGCTACATGTGAGGACAGTGGAGGGTCATCGTTTCCGCTTCAGCATTTAAAATTAAAGCTGTGGCAGCAGGAGTCTCCAAAGCTCTAATTATAAACATGCGAAGGGGAGAATGAGAAAGGAAATAGAGTAAAAGAAACCATCTCTTTCACTGCCACTCTGGTGAGAGCCCCTCCACCTTAACCTCCAAAATGGCTGCCTCAGCTTGTCAATGATGAATGGGATTATTATGAAAAACTGGGTTTTTCTTTTACTGTCTGCCTGTGTCATTTCCTTTGACTTGAGAAATGCAAATAACTATTCTCATAAACATGCTTATGAAGAACCTGAGGTCTTGATAGATCATACACAGTTTTGAAAGGTTTTGGGAAAATGTATTTGTAGAAATATATTTAATTACAAGGCAAACAGTTACCATGACTCCAGGATATGTTGCAAATTAGAAATAAAGAACTCACAACACAGCTATTAACTACTACAAGAACAACCATCAGCAGGTCATGGAAATAATTACAACTATTGACTTTGGATCAATGCAATTTGGTAAACAGCACTATTGGAAAAACTGACACCAAAATTAGAAGGAGCAAAAGGCCCAAAGAAACATGACAATTTTTATGCAATTTGGTGTGATGTTATTGATTATATGAATAATGAGGCATATGGAAGAACAGTACAGTACCCATAGTTAACAGCACAGTTTGGAATGTATGAAGCATATATTTTAATTACTCCCTATGAATTCCCATAAATCCCTGTACAGTGGTACCTCGGTTTTTGAACGTCTTGGAAGTTGAACATTTTGGTTTTCGAATACCAAAAACCCAGAAGTAAATGCTTCCGTTTTCAAACACACCTTCTGTTGTGTGTACATGTTATTTTTCTGTGGACTGTTGCAAAAAGATTTTAAAAAACAAACAAAAAACAGTGCCAGTGCCAGGCTATTTTGCACCCTAGGCAAGGCTAACTACTTGCACCTCCCCCCATTTTTATTTTTACTAACTTCAATTTTCAAAAACAGGTGTCGTTTAAAAAATACGAAAAGCACAAAACTTGAAACTGCTAAATTTATTTTAAATTGCAAGAATAAGTAATACAGCAACCTTTGGTTACCTTTCTGAAATGCATTAAGTACATAAACCTGTTGAAATCACTGTAGCTCTCAATTTTAGTTGTATGTACAGATAAGAGTCATGATAAATAAAGTCAAAGATCATTCAGATTTAATATTACACACGGCATACCTTCAAAAATGCTTTTTAAAAGCTATTCTCCTTGTTTGGTTTATGTTCTTATTAAACTTTTCACCTGCCCTCCAGCAGCAGGTCCAGGGTGGATTCCAACAGTTTAAAAAATCAGTATTAAAAACAGTGAAAATAAATTTACTGCCACAGGAAAAGGGAGGGTCCTATTGTGTGCAATTCCTCAGGGGATGTGTGCAAATTCTCGGTACAGGAAGAAACAGGAAGTGGTGTCAGCATGGCAATGTCCCTTCCTCAACTGCCATTTTACAAAATCTTTTTACTCAACCTGTAGTGGAGGCACTGAAACTCACACTGGATGAATGTAGGAATACGGAGTTCCTCATCTGAGACATGAATGCCTACTCATATTCTGCCATTGATAGACTCAAGATATTAGCAAGTGTATTAAGCACTTGAAGGCTCTTCGGTTAATTGCCACTTACGTACTTTCAAAAGCCAAGTAATGACGGATGTATCCACAGATTTGTAATGCTTTATCCAACTGTCAAGCCACAAGCTTATTGGTTACAGCTTACAGAGAGACTGGCACGGTATTATCATCAGATAAAATCTATTTTCACCCGTTCCCAAAGCCAATAAGGACACACGATGGGTGGAGAGGTTCAAGTCTTTATTGCTATAGGAATAGTGGCTCGGTTTGGGTTTCTTTCCAAAAAGACTAAACAAAAGCAACACCCAAAAGTAGAAAGCATTTATACAGGGTTGCAGAGCATGACACCACCCATGCCTGATTCCTCCCACCCCTCCCAAGCTTGCTCTCGACTCATGGGCACAAGGTACCAATTGCCGATAAGGCAAAATGCTTGCTTGAAGCCCTATCTGATTTGGTGGTTGCTCTTCTACTTGCAAAGCAATTGCTTTTAATACAAACTTTTGTGCTTGCTGCTGGGCTGAACTGGTGGTTTTAGGCTGGAACCGGAGAACGCAGGAAGTTAGGCCACTATACAGAGTCAAATCATTGGGTTCCTCCAGCTTGGTGATGTCCACATTGACCGACAGCAGCTCTCCATGCTTCAGAACAGGAGCTTCTTTGAGGCTTTCCCCCTTCCAGCATTGGGGGAGGGGGCGTTCAGGCAGTTCTAGAGATGCTGCTGTTGCTTGCTGCCTCTACTTAAGATGTTTCACTCTTTGACACTGATACGGGGAACTTATCCAGTACAAACCAGGACACCCAATTTTTGGATTGACTTGCCTAAGATCCAGGACAAAGTGCAGCCTTTCGGAAATTCCCCCAGGACATCAATTCCGCCTTTGAAACCTGGTAAGATCCTGCCCTAGTTTACAGGGAAGGGACAGTTGTCTCATCTGAAATCTGACAGCTGCTAGTTTATCAGACTGCTGCATCATAAAAAATATTTCTGGAAACATACAAACAAAAGGATGTCAGGAACTGGTGTCAGTCCTGCCATTTGCCCCACCATGCTGGGTGCTGACACTGGGCCTGATTATCAATCAATCAATCAATTAAATTTCTATACCACCCTTCATCTGAGGATCATAGGGCCTAGTGGTGGTTGACCTCTGTGGTGCCACTCCTTGCTGTCAATAAATTTGGGAAAGGAAAGGTGGTGAGGAGGGTTTAGGAGAATCTGAAACTAGAAGCAACTGCTTCACCCCTGTAATCAATTAATCAAATGGATTAATCTACTAACAGTTGCAGTCCTAGCACATATCCAAACTAGATGAATATATGCACCAGAAAGAAAAAGCAATTGATAATATTGACTATTGTTGCTTTGCTGCTGTTGCTTTGCTGCAGTTACACTTCCCAAAACTTCACACTTGGGTGCTTTATGCTGTATTTGGAGAAAAATCCATAGGATCATAGCGTGGAGGAGCAAGATTGTTTTCTGAGGGAATCAAGGCATCACTGCTGACAGAGTTTGGCACAAAAACCATTGCCTGCAACATTGAAATTCAGAAATTCAGTATTAGAAATACAGTCATACCTCAGGTTAAAGACGCTTCAGGTTGAGCGTTTTCAGGTTGTGTCCCGTGGAGACCCAGAAGTAATGGAACGGGTTACTTCTGGGTTTCACCGCTCGTGCATACGCAGATGCTCAAAATGACATCACACGCATGCGCAGAAACGGCGAATCACAACCCACACACGCGCAGATTGCGTTCTGCTCAGGTTGCGAACGGGGCTCCGGAACGGATCCCGTTCGCAACCAGGGGTACCACTGTACTTTTCTTGTCGTTGCTATTACCTTTGTCATCATGATGGATTACCTTAATACATTTTGGTTTCTGTTTTGTGTGAGTTTGCCCTTAAGTTTGCTCTATCACAGTTCTGTACAAAGTAATTTAGGTGTAATGGTTACAGTATTGCACTAGGACTGGGGAGACCTATCGGCTGTGTATGCATTACCATTTACTCTGGCTCCAGAGTGCTCACACTGCTGGTGTCTGAAGCCATGGTCACATGACATTAACCACAATCCATATCTATCCTGTATAGTTTCTTGAAAAATGCTGGTGTTTGGCGTGTTTTCCCTCAAATCCATCTGACTGGAAAATGTAAGCCACAGTTAAATTAAGGTGTATACATTTGTAATAGCCAATGTGCATGCACAGATGACAGTACATGTGCAGGTGACAGCTTTTAGTGAACAGGAATTGCAGGTGTGGGGGAACCGAGCAGGTAATGTGCATTGAATGAATACATCCTCACCCCATTTCTAGCACATAATGCAATGGGGGGGGATGACCTCACTGCATTTTCCGTTAATGTCTACACCACCATGTTAATATTTATTTACTTGATTTATTTTTATTATATATTTATTAAAAACAAAATGAGAATACAAATGGCACAAAAACAAACCAGTATCCCACAAACACATTTAAAAGGCCATAGAATGTTAATCAGCCAGACGCCTGGTCATAGAGAAATGTTTTTGCCTGGCGCCTAAAGATATGTAATGAAGGCTCCAGGGTGTGTGTGTGTGTGTGTGTGTGTGTGAGAGAGAGAGAGAGAGAGAGAGAGAGAGACCCATGCCACTCCTTAAAGGCTAGAATATATAAACATGGGAAATGAAAAGTCAAGTTTTCCTTGGGATCCTCAATAAGATCTGCTTAAACTCCAAGCAAGTTATCAAGCGCTTACCGTCTCAAGATTATAGAAGTTCTCCTGGCACCCAATGTGTGACATCAGAACGGTGATGCAGAACTCCAGCAAGCTGAACAAGAGGAGCAGGAAAGAGAGACCAAAGCCTATGTTCTGCAAAATAAAAGAAGTACCTTTAATCTCTCTCTCAGCCCTTGTAGCTAACTCAGCCACAACATTAGAAAGTGTGCAAGTAACCATCTTCTGGACCCTACTGAGTTGAAGATGTAAGTGAAAAATTTGCCTTGGAAAGGGTCATGAGTTATGCCTGACATAGATGGGAAAACCTACTGTATTGGGGTGGGGAATTATAATGCTGCACACAGTGCTATTTTTCTAGAAAAAGAGGTGCTGGAACTCACCATGAACTTCTCCCTTGTTCTCTGAGAATGCCAATGGCGTCCTCCAGAGAGGTGCCAGAACTCAGTTCCAGTGAGTTCCTGCTGAAAGAAGCCCTGGCTGCATCTAACACTGTGCTAACTAGCACAAGCTCTTGCACAACAAAACTGCCAGTAGACCTGTTGTTGGATTCCTTAGATGTGCAACCATGAGAAAATAGGTTCCTGGTAGCAAAAGGTTTTCTGAAACAGCAGGCAATGTATTTCCATTCTAGTTGATTATTATAATAACCTTGTTAACATTAAGGATCTGGCACCTCAGTTGGTGTATCCCTCTCCCCTCTCTAGCCTTTTAAAATTTGTATTATGTCTTTTGATGTTCTAAGCCTGAGGGCAGAGGAGGTGTTGCCTTCACTGACCTATAAGCCACTCTGGGAGCAAGATGGTTCTGATGGTTCAGCTTTGCTTGCTATTTTCACTTAGAACTTGTTGGAAGGAGAACGGCAGAAATCATTCCATGTGCAACTCAAGGATTACCGTAATTCTGTTACTGTTAAACTCAACTAGCTAAGAGGGGGTGGTAGAGATGTTGCTTAGCAACCAGGCAGAGTGGCATGATATTTGCTGAGGTAGTATATGCCCTGATTGGCTGTGTATTTCTGAGGGAGCTTTTCCTCTGCATGTTTGTTTGAATGTCTCTGCTATGAATGAGGCCTGAAGTAACAAAGAGAAAACCCCTGTTTATTTCTCCTCAAATTATTGTTGCTGCTGAGTTTCGTCAGTAAAATGTAACCAGGCTTTATTTTCTTTCTGGATTCCATCTGCATTATTTAAATGATTTGGTTACCACTGCTGAAGAGATTAGTTGGCTTTAAGATTAAATAGTAGCTGGTCTCTTTGGCAGTGGGAACTGCAAGCATAACTCTGTGTGTGGGTTTTTCCATCTCTTTATATGTATTACCAGTGCTTTTTTTCTAAAAAAATGTTTAGGGGTACTCTCATTTTCATACCCATATTGAAATACTGCCCCTCAATGATGCCAAACCTAGATTCACAAAATGTTTAGGGGTATGCGTACCCCTGCATCCCCCCCCCAGAAAAAAGCACTGCATATTACTGTTAGCGTTCTTGTTCTTATTCTATTATTTATTCGCTGCTTTACTCATAAAAGTGACTCAGAACAACTTACAAACACAATTGATATGCGAAAATCAATTACAATAAACAGAATAAACAAAAACCTAAAAAACAAACACATCTGTACAAATAAAAGACTGCTCTGGCAGATCCTGCCCAGTCAAAGGAAGTTGCAGATATTAAAAACCCTTCAAACTAAGGGACAAAGAGGGTGCGAGATTTGTCTGGCTCCTAAAACTGGACAAAGAGGGTGCCAGATGAGCCTCCCACAAAAGTGGGGAGCTACCACTGAAAAGGCCTGCTAATGTGTTGCTACTCTCCAAACCTCCCATGGAGGGGGTGCACTGAGCAGGACCTCAGATGATGATCACAGGGTCTGGATTCGTATGGGGAGGTGTGGTCCTTGAGGAACTGGTGACCTGAGCTGCATAAGGTCGAAACAACCACTTTGAATTGAGCCCTTCTTGGATGCTACCCAGAAAAGAAGTTCTGCACGGAATGCTGCATTCACTTACCTGTGACCAATAATAAGGATTGCCTCGATTGAAAGCCAGATCACTTATATATAGAATGGTGCCAGCTGCTGACATTACAGAGCTTGTGATGTGCATTCCCACACTGCATTTCGCCTGAAACAGACAGTCAAAGAGCCAGTCTACTAAAAATTACAGAGACAGAATGCAGGTCTCCTAAAAGACAAATCATTTATTACTTACTGACTGACTTTCTTACTTGCTTTATGTTGCCTAGGGCAATGCAAAGCAACGTAAATCAATTTATCCAACAAATAGAGTCACTCTCAGTCCATGAGAAGCAAAGCACCTGTTCTGCAAGTAGCCTGAATTTCAAGCTGTATTGGAGTTTTCCTCAAGGGTCATTTAAACCCAGAGAAAAACCGAAGTGGCTGATGGCACTGTGGTGGCAGTGAACTAAAAACACAAATACAAATTAACATAAAAGCATATCACAATTTAAAAGCAATTTAAGACAACCCCACCCTACCCCAAGTAAAACGACACCCACCCCCGTTAAACACTAAATTAAAAGTATCAGAACAGTTAAAAACAGTTTAAACGTTTCAGATAGTTGGAGCCATGGAAGCATACCCCAACCCCAAGGTCCGTTCAGCTGCCTCAGTTGTATTTCATCAGTCAGTCTGGGTCTCAGCTGCCCTCCTAGGCCAGATGGACATGGCCTGCCTGCCAGGCAGGGGACAGGTCAGGCGAGACTCACAGCCACAGGTCTCAGGCCAGAACAAGGTGGGCCCTGAGGCATAGGGGGCAGTGGGAGGTATGCCCCAGGAGGCTAAGGCAGGCCAGGACCCACAGCCCAGGTGGGGCTTGCTAGCTTGAGGAGAAGGTGAGGGTCAAGCCCAGGTGCAGCAATCAACATGCAAGACGAAAAAGTGAGGCAAATTTGGCCAGGCCATTTGGGTTTGTGGCACAAAGCCAGCACAACACTTTGGCACTGGTTTGGACTTTGGAGTCAAACAGTTTGGGTATTTTAGCTCTTTACTTGTGACCCCGGTTTGAGTGTCTATTACTCAGTTTAGGGGGTGGCACAAAACGTGGGCTTGCAGCACAAAATGGCACAAAAATAGCACAAAACATTGGCACCTGTTTGGAGTCAATTCAACAAGTTGTACTTTTTGGCATTAACTTGTGAGCCCAATTTACTTTGTCAGTTACTCGGTTTGGGGGGCAGCACAAAATGCGGGGTTCACAGCAGAAAACAGCACAAAGCTAGCACAAAACTTTGGCATTGGTTTGCGGGGCATGCAGAATTTTAGGGTCACACATAAATGAAGCTGTATTTATCATTACTGCTAAATAAATTAATATTTCTCCTTTACTATCAGTAGCATGATCAATAGTGCTTCCCAGCCATTAAGATTGACTGTTATTGATCTTTCTCTCTCACCAGACAGCGTGTTTGATGTTTCTCTGCTGACATCGACATGCTTCCTGAAACAATGAACTGTACAAAACAAGGGGAAAAAATATGTGTTTAACTGCAGCTCACTTCAAAAAATCCAAAACATACTCTCAATTGAGAAAAAAACTGAGTTATAATGAAATAATAGTACCTCTTCTCTCTTTATTTTATTGTGTAGATTAGTCACACCAATCACTCATTCTCTACATACGAAAGGTCAACAGCTTGATAAGTTAGAAAATAGATACCCTTTCAAAACTCTGGATTCATAATCAGAAACACAGAAAAACAATGGCTCTCAAAGGTAATTGAAATACTACTTACAAATGCTCCACCCCAAAATGGATAACCTCCAACAGCAGCAAAAGATATATAGGAGTGACCAATAAGAAAAAGTAGGAGCGCTCCAAAGCCGATTTGCATTAATCCAATTAAGATCTGGACAGTCTATGGGAAGAAAATGTGCAAACAAGGTAAAATAATTCTGCTCGTTCTTCAAAAAACATGAATTTTTACTCATTAGCACAATGTGAAAAACATCCAGAAAGATTGGTCTGTTTATTCCTTTGGGTAAATAAATTTAAAAAAAAAAGATAACTTCTCAAGAGGCTAGAGAGAACACCATGTGCATATAGATATATAGGCTGCATAAAGGTGGGGTGAGAGGAATTCAGAGAAAGGCATTAGATTATAGCCAGACAGACTAATATTGGGACTAGTATCTGCCTCATTATGAGGTAACAAACACAAGCCAGAAAGAGAAGGGAGGAAATCAGTATAAGCATGCATAGGATTGGCATTGCTACAGACTGGCTATGTTTGAAATGAACTGATTAGATCTGTAAAACTGATACACAGAGTGATGCTCATTTGCAAACCTGAATTTTCCATTAGTGCAAAACCAGAACTTTTAAGAATTTTTCCTGGTCCCAGAAAAGTTCCCTGAAATTGCCACCTATTTACCCATTGGCTTCTATGAGCCTTAAACATTTTGTCTACAGTTTTTGCTCCCCATATCCAGGAATATATTTTCAACTATCTCACTTACATATAGTAATCAGTGCCATAAACCTATGTAAATGTGTGCTAAACTTTATGGATGACTTGCCATTACCTCAACTGATAGAGGGACCCATATTTTGCAGGAGCCCCCCTTCAGATGTGTTTTCTAGCAATCATTTAGAAATAAGTGTCTCAAAATTCCTATTTTGAATTAATATGGGAGTAATTCAATCACTTTTGGGAATACACTATTCCCCCTCTGTTTGGGGGTGAGGAAGTAATCTTCTCCCTTAGACTACTAGCTGACTTGTTAAGAACTCCTGTAATGTCCATCTCAGTGTCCCCATGCCCCAGTCGATCAGTCACTGAGTCAGCCAATAGGGGCAAGCATCTTGAATTCATAGAAAATCTGAGAATAATCTGTATGAGTCTTCCTCAAATTCTTGCCCTCTGGATATTTTGGGCTAGAACTCACATCACCCCTGATCACTGACCATGCTGTCTGGGGCTGTCTGGGAAGGCTGATCTGGATTATCTCTTTTGGCACCACCTTTCTGAACCAATTTCTATGTAAAAATGTCTTATTATCCTTCCTATTATATTTTTGGCACCATCATCCTGCAGCCAATCCGAAGCCATGCTTTGGTTTCTGAACGTTTTGGAAGTCGAACGGATTTCCAGAACGGATTCCGTTCGACTTCCAAGGCACGACTGTATAAGAGAAAAAGGGAGATGTTCATGGTGAGTTCCATCACCTCTTTTTCTAGAAAAACAGACTGCTCACGATGCACCTAAATGTGAGCAGATCTGACACACTTACCCCCAGAGTCTTGGTCTCCATTTTGAGGAGTTTTTCCCATGTCTTCACGTGTTGAGGTTGGTTGCTGGGGCTTCCAACCTGCTGGCCAACATATGGCATGTATTGTCCTGCCCCTGCTGGTTGGATAACAGCACCAGGGATCTGCTCGCCTGCCTGGATTAAGTTCGCAGCAATTGCAGGAATGTACACCACCGTTCCCCTAGCCATTCTCCCTGGATGCGTTGCCATTGTTTAGATATCTTCAAGCAAACTAATAAACCAAAGATATAAACAAAAGAAAAGGTGGGGGGGACACTCACATTTGGGGACAAGTTACCCAACATGCACAGCCACATATTCACACATGATGTGATATATACTAAAACTGAATCCATGAAATTGTCCTTCCTAGCAGTGGGTTGACTCATGAGTCAATGGTGCGTTTTTTGTGAGCAATTCCTATGCTGCTTTTTGTGCCTAAGGCAGCACACACAGGAAAATTCTTGGACAAGGGCAGATAAGGGGCAGAAGGAAATAAACACCAGTCCCAAAAACTGTTTAATTAATGCCAGGAATGGCAATCAATTACTAGTAATTTCTTCTTTGTCTAAAACAAAGTAGCCCAAACTACTAACGCAGAACTTCCTTGTTTTTCAGCCCTCCCTACAGTGGGAGTTTCAGTTTTCATACCATACCATATGAGGTATTGTCTCCTCTTTAGTCAGGATTGCATTTCATAACAGTAATGCTGAATAATAAGTTTAAGTTTCAGAACAGTGGGAGAGCGAGTGTAGCAGTAAAATGCATTTTGCGGTTAGGGGAGATTCACAGCAAGGAATCAAAGGCAAATTCTTGGCTATATTCAAGATTCACCTGCAAAAAAAAGGGTGTATTTTACGAGGTGGTTGAGGTTATTTTGTAATACTGTACCTCTCTCTCTTTCCGGGTGTGTAATTGGCATTCCTGAGGAAATTGTATGTATATATTTGGTACACTGTGATATATGCAGCTACCGTCAAACACTCCCTAAACAGAGTTCCTGATTTCAGCAGAGGGTTGCCAACACTTTACTGTGACTGTGCTCTTGTGCCTTTCATGGCAGCTTCACCTAAAGTGATTAGGAGGGGATCCTGCCCATGCAAGGGCACCATCTCGCCCTCAGCATCGTGGGTGCCCAAGCACCCATGGCTCCCTGGAGCTGGCTCCTATGTGCCTATGCCCCATGTTGTGAAAAGCTCCTCGCGATTTCAGCAGATGTTGGTAAAGGCACAGGCGTCATTTTAAAAATCAGTTACTCTATCGCAGGGACCCATTGGGGAGGTATTCACATTATTCTGCATCCATGTTGGCTTTCTCTTCTTCTGATCCGTTGAAACTTTTCGCCACACAGGCCTCCATGCCCGAGGCGGCCACAAATCACAACTTTAGCCGTTATCTTTATGAGGAGTTCCATGGGGGAGAAGGAAACTTCAGTGGTTCAATCAGTCACTGTATAGCTTTAAATCCTGACTGTAAAGATTCTTATCGGAAGAGTTTGGCCAGCTCTCTCCGCCACTAACAAAGCACAACTAACAATGCATCTTGTGTCCCGTGCAATTGCTGGGAAGAACTGGCAGGAGGGGGCACTTGAACCTGTCCCAGCTCACTGCCTCTCGCCTCTAAATGGCCCCCACCTGCATTTCAGGAAAGAAATTGGCAGCCATTGTAGGAAGGGTGAAGCACCCCTCTCGCCCCACATTTATGCCCACAGTTCCTCCCCAGCAAATGCTCCCTCCCTTGCCTCTCCCTCAGTAACACCCTTAGCTGCAACACACGCCTAAATATTTTTACAGTACCTGTTTCTGCCCTTCTGCTTATTCAGGAGTGAAGGCAGAAGCTCTTAGCTCATGTTCAGGAGCTCCTTCATGCCTTTCAGAGGAGGAGAGCTGCGGATCAAAAGGAAGCACTGTTCCCCAAATTAAGATAACGCTCTCCAGATATACTCACGTTACACCGGCGGCCCCGTGTTCCTTCAGCAGGGAGTGAAAGGCACAACACGAAGAATTTGGCCAGCCTCGTCTTGTCCTCTCCATTCCCCTTTCAGGGAAATTTGCTCCTTTTGTTGTGACGCGCATCTGGCTGCAGCCTCTTTCCCCACCCCGGAGAGTCTTTCCATTCCATTCCTGCCAGGGAGATTCTGAATCCAGACCAGAGACAGCCTTGAGGAGCTGTGAAGCTGCGCAGGGGCCTCTTGTTTAACTTGCCAGGCCCCACATAGCTTTGCAAATGTGCCAGCAGTTTTATTGCTCAGATGTCCCACTGAAAATGGGGTGGTTGGGGGGTGAGGGTGGGGAGACATCCTGCACCACAAAAGCAGGGCCGGATTTAGGTTTGATGAGGCCCTAAGCTACTGAAGGTAAAGGGGCCCTTTATATGTCCAGCTGTCCTTTGTCAACAACTAATTGTCGCTGTTTTTTTGTGTTGAATATATGCTATATGGTAATGTATGGACCTAATAGGTATCTAAAGCCATTTGCACATGCAGAATGTAGGCACCTTATATATAGTAATGAGCAAAGCAGTGATATTTTAGGGAGCAGGCTAGCAGGCGGGGCCTATTACTTACATCATAGGAGCCTACACAACACAAAATACTGTTGCTGTATGTAGGTTTTATTTTATTTGTTTTTTATCTTGTATTTTAAAGATGTACATCCAGTTTGTTTCCTTTAAATGCTTTTTGGGGGCCCCAAGAGAGTGGGGCCCTAAGCTATAGCTTGTTTAACTTATACATAAATCCGACACTGCACAAAAGCATGCTTGTGTTCTTTACAATTTGCAGTCAACTGAGTTAGAGGCAGCACTTAACTCCACTAACCAGAGAGGGGCTGGGCCCTTGATCTATGTGGAAGTATTAGTTGGTATCTTGATTGGATTAGACATTATTTTTGAATATGCAATTAATTAATGTAACTCTCACCCAAAGTCCTTGTGCTATGCTTGTTTTTATGCAGGGAATCATTTTGGCTGTTTTTTATACATCCTGTTGTGAAACCACTTCAAAATTTCACTTAATAGAAAGCAGTTAATAAATGAAATAAATAATAATATTAAGCCCTGCTTCTGCGTGTTAACTGTGTCAGAGGAGGGAGGCTGTGATTGTTCAGTGTGGGGTGGGGAGCAGCAGCTCAGCAGCTCTTTCTCTTATGTAACTGTTCTTCCTCCTAAATAAATCTGGCCTTCAATTCAATAGCTGTTCTTGGGAGGCTCATGTGAGGAATATGCTGCTTTTCCATTATTATTTTTTAATATTCAGGGTGCTTTTAGCAATGCCTTTTGTAAAGGCAGGCCTAGAGACCTCAGTCCCTAAATTTGCCATTTTAGAAGGATATTTTTAAGCAGCTACCTGATAGAATTAGGATGCACAGAATCTGATAAGGATTGCAAAAGCTCTAAGATGACAGATATACATAGCAGAACTCTTGGCAAAAATGCTAGCCTGTGGTTGAGACCCAGATATGAAGGCTGCATATACCTGTGACTAGTGGTTAAAAAGGGGTTTGTCCTTGCTACTAGGGATGGGAGAATATCAATTTTGGGTCCTCTCAGTTGTTAATTTCTCCAATCTTAAAATTCAGTTCCCCACATTAGTTTGCAATTGTTTAAAAAAGTCCAGATTGGAGTGGTACTATTATTCCCCTTGATGTGGACACTATACTTCTGTTGATGCAGCATAGAATTGCATTAGCCTTTTTTTGTTGCTGTATCACACTGTTGACTAAGTTTTGATCTACTAAGACCCCTAGAACCTTTATTTCAATATATGATTGCGGTGGCAAGACTTTTATATGAACAAAGATGGAAAAATTCATAATTACCAACAACAGAGGAATAGTTATTAAAATTATTGAACTTAGCTGAGAGCGCAAAATTGACATGTTTAATCAGAGAAAAGTCATTGTTAACATATACTAAAGACTGGAAAACTCTTATAGAATTTTTGCGTGAAAAAGAAAATGAATAAATGACATTTGGGTTTGAGAACTGAAGATAATGTTGGTTTATAGAAAGTAGTTTTGACAGGTGTTATATTGGAGTGGATGAGTTGAATAATGTTGATATAGAGCTGATAGACGAAGAATCAGAAGTTCTTTATTTTCTTAATTTTATTTTTTCTCTTTCAATTTTTTTTCCACCCCTCTCGTCTTTCCTCCCTTTCTTCTTCTTTTCCTTTGGGTTTGTGTTTTCATCAAGATTAACATTTTAGTTTTGATTTTTTAAAAAAGATATTTGATAATAATCTTTGCATTCCTCTTTCTAAATTCTAATAACATTTTATTAAAAATGGATATATGTGCCAAAAAAGACAGAAAAGCAAATGAGTATTAATTTCACTCCTTTAGCAGCATCTCCCATATACAACTTCTCCTTTAGATTCTTCACTCATTCTTGGGGAAAGAATCCACAGTACTGTAAGCTGGAGGAGGAGCAGAAGCTGGAGGAGGAGGAACACAATTGCCTTCAGTAGGAGCCGTATCAACAGTGTAGGGAACATAAACCATTGCCTGTATAACAGAAGAGTAATTCATCAGAAGAAGACAGATGCCATGTCATCACCATTGTCATAATCGCCATCCTGGCAGCATTCAGGGGCCGCCACCACTCTGGTCATCATCATGAATGAGGGTGAGAACATCACAGAAGGGGCAGGGCCAGTGAGCAATTCTGATTGCGTGAGGATCAGTGTTAAAATATCGGAAAAGGGCTGGAGCTGGCAGATTATCAATTTGCAACTGCACTTCCTGCTCTGCAGTTCTCCAAATCCTTCTGTTTTGCTCTAAAAGTTGCATGACAGGTAAATCCTGCCTAGGCAAACTGGGACAGGGAATAAAGCCTTTGTCCCCATATTCTACTACTGCAGAGTGTACCGCTACATATTGGTGTAATGTGAACTATGGGTTTAATCACACAGTGCTTGGGCTCATGTCTTGAGGAGCACATCCCCCACGTCTGGATGTTCTGAGATAAGGGTGCCAGACTTCGGCAAGATCTTACCAGAAGTCAGCGCTGACACAAGCGTTCTGCAGGTGCCACAGCTGCTGCTTTGTGGCCACCCCCATGCCATGCAGGCAAGAGGGGGATGGTGCTGGTGGGGTGGCAGGGGCAAGGGGGTAAATGAACACAAAAATGTCTGGGACTTCCTTCTTTAAAAAGATTCCTGCCCTCTCAGCCGAGTTTAGAGATAAACTGGGTTATTTGTTTGGGGTTCGTCTTTCCTCTTAAAGGAGTGTTTCTGATCAACACTGGATTCACAGCACTAGACTCCAGGTATGAACATCTATCTGTGCAAGTTTACTCATGAGAGAAGTCCTCGGTAATGGGGTGTGATTTTTCTTCGTTGTATTGTTTCATGTGTTCAGGGAAAATATTCCACACACTTTAACACTTTTTATAACAGTGATAAAGTAGTGGCAAAGACCTGTAGGTTCTCTGGGCAAAAAATGGCTGGTAAAGTTGTTGGTTATGAAGCTTCCTTGGTTATGAAGCTCGCCAGTCACTCACTTTCACCTTGAACTACCTTCCAGGGTTGTTGTGAGGATATTTGTGGAAGTGGTGGGTGGCTCTTTGGAGACAGGGTGGGGTGGAAACATAATCTTTAAAGGAATAATCCTCTCCAAACCTCTCAACAAGATCTGCTTAAACTTTAAGCAAGGTATCAAATGCTTACCGGGTCATTGGAACAGCAGGTTAACTGGCACCCAAAATGTGCTAATGAAACAGCGATGCAGAACTCCAGAAAGCTGAACAAGAGGAGAATAACGGCAAACCCAGTACTTACAGCCTGTGGAGCACAGAAGCGGGTAGAAAGTCATTTATCATATACAGTTCAAAGTACTGCCAATTAAGTTTAGTTGCAACATTAAAAAGTGTCCTAGTCTCCATCTTCTATGTAACCTTCTGGGAATCAGCCAAGGAAAATCTGCTGGTAATGGTGATGATTTTGAATAATTTGATTAAAGCGTTTGCTTCATATACAAATACCTCTTGAAACGTACAATTGTAAAACCAAGGATAGAGAGTACAGTGCCGTAGCTACTGGGGTGGGGGTGGGGGTTAGTTGTCTGCCCCCCTCCTTGGGATGAAGCCTCCAAAAGGGCACCATTGAGGCTCCCAGCCTCTGTGTGTGTTTACGCAAATGTGCTGGGTCTTTGACCTGGGTGAAATAAAACCTAGTTTAATCCTTGGTGAATTTGAACCTGGGCAGAGACCCTCATAGCATGTTTGTGTTTTGCAGCATCCCAAACCAGGGCTACCAACCCAGGACCGACACTGTTTGGTAGGCAGTGGAACCTGGAATGCCCTCACACAACTCTAAACATGGTCATTTGAGCCTCATTTAAAGGCTCTATTATGGGATATCTGCAAAAGAACAACCCTGTGCACATTCTCGTTAGTTGGGTTTACATTTGTATGACACCAGACAAAGGAAGAGCCAATTTGAGTCTCACATCCAGAAATACCCTCTTTGTTAACCCTCCTATGTCATTCGCAACACATCCTTGTGAAAGAAAAGCAGCAGCTGGGAAGAATCCTAAGGAGCAGAAATGTCAGTGCATTTATGCATGAATTTAAGGTATTTTGGCACTCCAAAGTCTGCCCTGAAATGAACACCACCCCTTGGTCTTATTTGCTTTGTCAGCTTTCATGACAAATTAATCTTGCCTCCTCAAAAGGGAATTTCTTTTGTTTATAATGTAGTGACTCAAGTCATTATGCTGGCGTTTCTGATTTCAAACAACATCAGAACTCAGCACCCAGGGTGAACATTCAGAACATGCAAGAAACTGGAGCTGGAAAAATCCCATGTCTGGTTTTGTTGTTGTTGCATCCCTTCGCTTTTTGAAACAAGACACCTTCTCTTCACTCCCCAGCTCAAGGAAGAGGCAGAGTAAGACATTCTGCCTTTCATGTACAATGATGCCACATTATCTAATGGGAGCCCATGGCAACTGCATAGCCATATTCCAAATGGCATTTCCCAACTGCAAGTTGTTGTTGTTGGCATCAAGAGACAATGGAGTGTGCCTCTGGGGGTGAAGTCACACCACTGCGTTATCAGCACCAAAGTGCAAGCCTGGGCAGTGTGTAGGAAGGTCCTGGGCTGCCCAGGTGACATGACCCTGCCCCCTCTTGGCCTCGCTGATGTGGTCCAAAGGAAAGCAGAGCAATACGTTTGGCACCAGTTGGGCTGCAGGAGTTGCTAGGAAGAAGCATATAAAGCACCACCCAGCCATCTTAGACTCCACTCTGGATTTATGTAGCATTTGCTCCTTAGCATTGTCTTCTCCCGAATATATCCTGCAAGGCAGCAGAGGTTTAGGATCAGAGTTTCTCTTCTCCTAGATGGGCTACCTTCCCAGACTGATGAGCTCACTTCCCTCTACAGCATGTGCAGAAACCACCTTCTTGACTGTTGGATCTGCTTCTGGTCTCATCCGCTCAATTCACCAGAGCCTGTCTTCGCTTGCAGGGGAAGTCCTTAACTCACCAAGGGTTTAAGACCCATCGGCTGCCATCACCTGGTTTAACTGGCCAACCGAAGCCATTTTCTGGCATGTGGCTGCTGTCGCATGCTGAAAGCTTCTAGGAGCCACAGGTGAGAGCTGAGTGCAGGGTGGAGACCAAAGGTGGACAAACTACCCCAGAAGGAGCATGATGGAATGGATGCACTAGCTCTAAGGATAAATAGCATTTTCTCAGGGACAAAAATATTACAGTGCTAGTATTGGGGATATGTAATCTTTCCAGTAACAGAATGACTGCTTAGTGGAAAGATGTTTGCACAGCTAAGTAGCAAGCACGGAGCAGTAATAACAGTAGCACTAATAAACCTTCACAGGAGGTTTTTAAGCAGAGGTGATGGATGCTTTAGTTGAGATTCCCACATTGCAGGGGGTTGGACTAGATGACTCTCAGGGTCCCTTCCAACTCTGTGATTCCGAGGCTAAAATGAAGAACTTAATTTAAAAGCAAAATCACTGAGTGTGCTGATCTCAAGAGTCTGGTAGCCTGCCTCCCCAGAGCCACAATAAATCTAAAGTGCTGTGCGAATGAGGTAGAATGAAAGAAGCCTCTGTTGTGTGGGCAGAATTTCTTCCAGCAGTTGGAGGATAGTTTTCAACACAGCACTAATAACTGCTGTAAAAGGCCACACTGACTACCAGTTCCAAAAGCTGCCTTGAACAAGAATTCTAGAAAATCTGCCACCCCAAAACTTTGAAGGTAAAAAATGTTTTTAAAAGTCCAGTAAAACAGCACCAAGAAAAACTTTAAATCTGGCGTACCAGTCCAAATGGCAGGCAGAATCAGAGCCTGTGACCAAGGGCCACATTGTCCACAGGCTGAGTCATGTAGCTCCATCTACATGATGGAGGAGGCTTTAAAGTGGCAGAACTGATGCCTAGTGGGTATTCATCTGTTTTTGAAAGAGAACAAACTGTAGTAAGCTATGGAGAAAGAACAGCTTAAGACCAAATGGTCAGGCATTTCTGTCCAGGCTTCAGAGCCTGGCAGAATGCTGGGTTTCCAAAGCTACAAACCAAAATGCAAAGAAGGAACCTGGGTGGGTAGGAGAACCATGTGGAGAGCTTCAGCTATGCTTGCTATTTTCACTGCTGAAGAGGCAAGCTACCTTTTAAACTAAATAGTGGCTAGTCTCTTCAGCAGTGAGAAGTGATGTGTTGAAAACAGAAAGCAAAACTGATGGTGATTGGGATTTCTCCCTCTTTCTGGATGCTGCCCATAAAGACATCAAACTGAATCACTGTCATGGGAGGACTTCTGTGAGTACAACAGAACATCTCCCTCTTCTTCTTCCTCTCACTCCTCACCTGCAGATTTGGAGGTTGGGCACACAGGGAGAGGAGAGGAAGGGGAAGTTCCATCGGGTTCACATAAGTTGTTTCTCACATACACTGATTAGTCCAAAGGCCAAAGTTCTGCATAGCGTTCTTTTCACTTACCTTTGCCGAATAATACCTTTGCCCAGTCTCATAATCATATGGATTATAACCCAAAGGACCTACAGACAGCTCTACCAAATACAGAATGATGCCAACTAATGCCATTACAGCACTTGTGATATTCATTCCTACGCTGCCTCGCACCTGAAAGAAACAAAGAATGTCATTTTCAGGCTTCAAAAAATACAAAGCAAGTATAGTGTTACACACCACCCCAGTCTCCAAGCTGTGTGAGATTCCAGGCGTCCAGGCACTTACCTGAAACACATGGTCTCGTGTTTCATTTAGAAATGAGGCACATCGGAGATTGTGATGTCTTTATGATATATAGTTTAATTACATGTACATATATACAACCTGAGCTTGCAATGGAGAAGCTTCTAGGATTACACTCCAAATCAGTCCCATTTCTCCCATGACTACCACCTTGGATTTACACTGACATAGTGCTCTGACTCCCTGTCTCTTCAGCTTGCTGTGTTTGCAAAATACAACTATTTTTCCTCCCGCTTACAACAGGAAAAATGCAATCCTCCCAAAAACTGCTCTCCCAAGGCTTTGTCTTTTTACTCACCCAACTCGGGGAGGGGCTTTCCCTATTTGCCTGCTGGTACAGAATTTCCGCTTCGTTACTGGCCTGTCTACCTGTCTTGACTCTTCTGTGGGAGAGCTTCTAGCAGTTCTGGCAATATTTTGAATTAAGGTAACCTCCATAAAACAATTCCATGTTAGTTACTGAGCTCCTTCAAATTGTGTCATTTTTGTTGTATACATTATACGTATATAACATGCGTCGTACTATGTATTGTTCTACCTATTTTGATGTTTAAAGGAAAGGAAAGTAGTTGTTCAGGAATGTTCATCTATTGAGTTCTTAATATAAATTAAATGTCAACACAATTCCTGTGTTGAATCGGGGGGGGGGGGCAGTATTTCCCTTACAGAAAAATAATTTTTAGTTTGTTGAGCAATCAACCTTCACAAACCTGGCACCCTCCTAATGTTTTCAGACTCCAATTCCCATCAGCCTCAGCAACTATGGCAAGTTCTGTTGTGTTTGGAAGTAACTGTTTCAGGTCTGCTGCGGGTCATTCCGATTTGATTTATTATTTGGGTTAGCATCTGATTAGTGAAATCCAAACCTGTTTTGCCCCTATGGCCTATAGTGAGGACTCTAAAAATGGTTGTAATTTCTTTTGCTTTTCACATAAATGGATAGAATTTGCATATGCCAGTGGGGAATATCAGAAGGGGCACAGCGAATGCACAGTTCCTTGCTAGAGTCCTGAAAGAAGGGCAACAGGTCCAGCTGGCAGACTCAAGGCTGCCTCTGCATTCTCCATTGGTCAAAGAGGGTCCTCATTTCAGACAAAGGCTGGTCTGGTCAAGATGGATGTTTATGGGAACAGAGGGTGGGACTTGATGGAGGCTCCTTGTTCCAGAATTTGGGCTTATAATAAATGAAGATCTACAGAGGAAGCTGCCAATATGGCCTTGGATTTGTAATAAGAAGGGAACACATTAACTGGCATTTCCTGGATCATAGAAGAAATTAAAACTCACATTTCTTTCTCTCTCACCTGACAGGGAGTTGCATATTTCTCAGCTAACACCGACATGGTTCCAGAAATAATGAACTGCACAAAACAAGGAAAAAGACACATTTGACTGAAGTTCATTTAGAAATTTCAAAAACATGCTCTCTACTGTAAAAAACTGGGTTATATCAGATAACAGAACCTTTTCTCTCTTGAAGTTCACTAGTTTAACCTTCTAGGAAGAGGAGCATTATTTTTATCATATTAGAATCACATACATGCATAATTATAAATACAGTGGTACCTCGGGTTAAGTACTTAATTCGTTCCAGAAGTCCGTTCTTAACCTGAAACTGTTCTTAACCTGAAGCACCACTTTAGCTAATAGGGTCTCCTGCTGCTGCCGCGCCACCGGCGCACGATTTCTGTTCTCATCCTGAAGCAAAGTTCTTAACCTGAAGCACTATTTCTGGGTTAGCAGAGTCTGTAACCTGAAGCGTCTGTAACCTGAAGCGTATATAACCCGAAGTACCACTGTATTCAAATAGCAGCCTCAATACTCTAAGTGCTGTCCCTTGTGTAGCCAAAGTAACACCATCCACACAAAAGGCGAATGGGGGGACGGTATCAGCAAGCTTGGGAAAACCCAGTTTCAAAAATGCAAAAAATATTTGGAGTGGGGTGGTAGGAACTGAAAAGAGGAAGGAAAAAACTCAGAACAGCCTAGTGAGGACTGAGTCTGGTTGGCAACTGCAGAGTGCCGGCTGAAGTGGAATTCCCATGGAGGAGAGGGATGGAATGGAGAGTGCTGGAAGAGGGCATAGCTGGCAAGAGCTCTACAACTCCCAGTAGCCCTAGCCAGCATAGCCAATAGCCAGGGATGATGGGAGTTGTAGTCCAGGAACAACTGGAGAGAACACGGACACTGGCTTACTTAATCTTAATGCTTTTTAGAAAAGATGCATTTAAACCTGATAACTAAAAACTATATACTCAAGAAATGAAGCCTTTTCCACAATTACAAATCCTTAAAATGAATAGAGTGTACTTCAGGGAAAGCCTTCTTAATGACACAACTATTCTGTTACCAGTCGCCTATTCTCCACACACAAGGAGTCACCATCTGAACAGGGATTTGGATGCAGATCTGCAAAGTGTAAATCACTGTCACTCAAAAGGCAAATAATATTCTGCTTACAAATAGTCCACCCCAGAATGGGTAACCTCCAAGAGTAGCAAGAGTCAACAGCCAGGTACAAAGAACAGCTGAGACACTCCCAAAGCCAATGTGTATCAAACCAATTAAGATCTGGATGGCCTGTAGGAACAAAATGCACAAAACAGCACATCAATTTCCCTTTGGTAAATTCAGAACTGAAACACATTTTCCCCACCTCATGATGCTCACCCAGGTCCACCCCCCCCTTGAGCCTGCTAGTAAATTGGACCTTGCTCCCTCTCCATGCAAGTAGTAGGTATAGCATACCCCCTCCACATTTTACAAGCCATTTCCTTTACTATAACACATTTCTGTATGACATTTTAATTAATATATGCATCTGTAGAACCTGTTTCCCTAACATGTACGTTTCTTTGGTTGGAGAACTGTATCACAAAATTCAGAGAACTGCATTTTAGTCTGCCTATTGTTTTGGGAAGTGCAAATTTGGTTGGTTTCCAGGGAAAATGCAAGCCAAACTGGTTTTCTTCCTCACCCCCCTGCCAGGGAGCAACAGTGCAACCATATGCAATATTTATTTAATTCACTGGACCTCCATGTTGGCAGATCTCAAATACACTTACCCCCAGAGTCTTGGCCTCCACTTTGACAAGTTTCTCCATCCACCCTGTTTGAGGTTGGTTGCTGGGGATTCCAACCTGCTGGCCTGCATATTGTATGTATTGTACCGTCCCTGGTGGTAGGGTAACAGTACCAAGGATTCCCTGGCCTGCTTGGATAACACTGGCATTAGTTTGGGGAATCAGCACCACAGTTCTATTAGCCATTATCTGCAAAAAGACAAACAAGCAAAGCAAAGATACAATTTTTAAAAAAATAACCGCTCAGATTTGGGCAAATACAGTGGAACCTCGGGTTATGAACGTGATCTGGGCCCTTGGAGCCCCAGCTCCCTAATCACTGTGGGTTTATTTTAAGAGCAGCTTAAACTCTTCACTTTTCCTCACAAATCAGAGCAGGCAGGAATATATCAGTGGGCACCTACCACTGGACCAGATGTCCTCCTCCTATCTCCTGCCTCTGCGTGGCTGCGGGACCCAGAGGTACCCAAGCCGGCCATTACCATTGGTGTACTATCTGGTGGAGCAGGTAGAGGAGGTGCCCTGATCCTGCTGCTCAGCCCAATGGCAGGTTGCCTGGGAACACCTGCCTTGCCCAACAGATGATGTGAAACCAAGTGAAGGATCAGGGTGGCGGTGACTTGCAGGGGGCAGAGCTTGATTCAGGATATGGTAACACAGGACATACACTAAACCTGTAATTTGCAGTACTCTAGATAATTTTGGGACCACAGACTGTGCCAGACAAACATGAAGAGCAGAGAACAGTTTCTGCTAGGTTCCTTTTGGGTTGTGTACCAACAGGGCTTTTTTTTTTCAGCCAGAACTCAACAAAACTCAGTTCTGTCACCTCTCAGGTGGGTGCCATTGCCATTATAAGAGAACAAGGGGGCGTTCATCGTGAGTTCCGGCACCTCTTTTTCTAGAAAAATAGTGCTGTGCACCAACTATACCAGATTCTATTTGGGGCTTCAGAGACACGGAAGGGAAGGAGGGATCAGCATTATTCTTGACCTAATCTAGCTCTCTCTTGACTCATTTAAACTTTTATTAGGCATGCTGGTGCCCACACAGACCTCTAAGCATGAGACAGGGGCATGCAATAGCTTTATGTATCTTATCAGTAAAGTGTTTCTTGCTCCTTCCAGTGGCATGGGCGGGGAAGGAAATATTGCTTTTAAAACACGGTTCATACCAGAATTTGCATTGCCACTGTGAACTTTGATCTTAGCCTTGATGACTGTGTTGAGGTTGATGGCAGAATTGACATCCTGAAAGTTTCTAACAGGACGAGTTTGAACAGGAAGAGACTGAATTTGTTTGTTAACTGCATTCTTTAGTTTATAATGCAGCTCTTATGAATTGTTAGGAAAGGAAGGGAAGAGCCCTCATTAGGGGCTGAGCAAGTTCCAGCTGCTCAATCCTACGCCTTTATCTCAGAATATTTTGGTGGGAGCTGCTGCCTGGTATCGCACCAAGGAAAAAGGCGGGTACACTATGTGATTTCTGTTCCTGTAGTAGATTTGAGTGTGGTTTTCTTCTGAGATTCATCCATAAGCTGCTCTGAAAGCCTCTGTGCTATAAACCGGGATAGAAGCATTCTAAATTGTAGAACAATAATTCTAAATATAATAATTGTAACATGTAATCCACATGGCCTAAGGATACTTACCCAGTTGTACTTTGAGAGGTGGAACTAGTGGGGGGGTGGGGATGAAAAACCAGGCTCTCTGCCACTTGTTTCCCTTGTAAATTCAGAATATTTTGGGAGGGGAATGACACCATTAACATGTCCCCCTCCCCAACATCCATTCCATGCTTTACAACTGCTTCCACATGCCTGAAAAGTTAACACAACCCCCCTCCACACAAATACATTTAACCAACCCTGTTAAAGAAGAAATACTCTGAACATGTGCAGTTGTATACTTTTTTAAAAACCACATAGTACCAGAAAGGCAACACAAGTAAAATGGCATTTGATTCTGCTGCCCTGGTGCTGCATATGCTTATTTGGGAATATGCAAACCATGTTGTTGCGTGTCGAGGTCCCCATGCCACCCCCCAAATAACTCACAACGCACACTTAATTTTTGTTTAAGGTTTTTGGCATAATTTTGGCCACAACTTTATTTAAATACAAAACCGTGAGTGGTTGTTTAGGCATTGGTTAAGACTATCTGTCCCCCCGCCTGGGGACAGAACTGACTTCCGGGCACCACCGAAAGCAAGTGCGGGAAAACAAGTCGGGGAGAAATGGAGCTGAGTCACAGGCCCTCAATTCTCACCCTCATGCTCCCCGAAGGCTTGCCGGCCCTAGTCCCATTCCAGGGATTGGACGAAAAGATGGCAAGCCCCAGGATTCCTTTAACGGAATTCCCTTTCCGCAGCAACCATGGAGGGGCAGGCACAGCCTATCCTAACCCCTCCTCCACCAATTTATAACCAATGCCTAACCGCAGCCTTACAAGTTGTGACGATTTGCTACGCAGTAGGCAAAAACCAAATGGCCCGGCCAATCAGCCAGATGGACAAAATTCCTACCAGGCCCCTGCCCCAACGTCAGATGACCCCATGACAGGCATAGCAAGGTCAATGCAACAACCCCTTACTTTAGGGCGGGTGGGCGGGTGATCCATTGCACGCAGCAAAGAGAAAGCTCCAGGCTGCGTGCAGAGTATTTAAACATTTTACCCCTCCCACCAAAATTGCAACATAACTTTTACCCCAGCAACCCAGCGAACCAATCGTTGTCCCAGGCCATCTTTAGAGACCCTGCCTGGCAACAGAGGGGTGGCTTGGCAGACCCCACCGCAACACGTGCTCTCCATGAGGGAGAACACGCTTTGTAGGAAAGGATTGTTTGTTTTAAAAGTAAAAATAGTAAAATGAACTTCTGTAACCATAGACATGCCTGGATAATAAATGCTGTTTTAAAACGAAAAAAGGGTAAATGCAGTATCCGCTGGCATGCCCATGACAGTCATGGTACTGGGTCTCTGTGCCTCTGCCTCCATAATCTGCTACTCTCCAGGTGATCATTTGAGGGGCCTTTGGGCCTTAGGGGAGCTGGATCTTAGCCCTGAGATTCAGCCCTACAGTTTTGTATTCCTTTCGAAAGGGAATGCTCTTAACCCCTAGCTAACATTACTGAAACCCTCAGAAAGAACCTTTGTCTTAGTAAGTATCTCTTAGTTAGATTATGGAATGAACAAGTGACATCAGAAATGGTCTCGAACAATCTAGCTCGAGGCTTTTCTGATGCAACATCCACTTCGTATCCACTTCTCATGCCCAGTGCTTTTTTTCAGCCAGGCCACACCAAAGCACAGTTCCGGCACTTCTCCGGTGACTTACTGTAAGAACTTCATGATGAGTTCTGGTACCTATTTTTCTTGAAAAAAAGCACTGCTTATATCACTTTAATAATCATGGTTTCCTCCAAAGAGTCCTGGAAAGTATAATTTGTTAAAGGCAGGGGTGGACTTTGGTAATATGGAGCCCTGAATGAGGACAAAAATTGCCCCCCCCCAAAAAACAATATATCTTAGTTTCACAATTATCAGTTTTGGTATAGTTGTTTTTTATGGATATTCTCAGCTGGTATCCATATAAATAAATATATTATTATTATTATTATTATTATTATTATTATTATCCTTAGCTTGGCACCCTGGGAACCACCCATACCACCCTAAATTTGGAGCTGTTAAGGATGCTGAGACTTGTTAGGAAACCCCTCACAAAGCTAGAATTCCCAGCATCCTGAAGAAATTACAGTTCCCAGGATCGGGGCAGTGGGGGTGGGGAGCCATAACTGTTAAAGTGGTATAAGAGCATTTTAAATGTATGGTGTGGTTGTGGGTGCTATTCCTCTCTAAGCGGAGATGCTTGAGAGAGAGGAGGAGGAGAAGCTTGCCCAGGCCTTAATTTTCCAAAGAAAAGACTTCCACACACTGTGGCAGGGATAAAAAAAATTGCCTTTTGTTCCTTGTTGGGGTTCATGAGGGGGAAACTCTCTACTCATGTTCAGCAGAACCATTTTATTCTTTCAGGCCTTTCCCAGTTGAGGCCTGGATCAAATAAAATACTGTCCCCAAATCAATTTAATTAACTTTGTCCAAAAGTACTTACGTTACACTCCTTGATCTGATCGTCCTCAGCCTCACAGTGTGTGTCTCAGGTATCACCAGGAAGCAGTGAGAAGTGAAAGCAATAGTGTGTAAAAGGGGTGTTTACACAGCACCAGACTGACTCGTCCCCTTTCCTTCCCTTTGTCTCATTTAACTGTTGATTACTGTACTCTGGACTTTTTCCATTTCAGATATTCTCCTCGCTCCTGCCAAGGAACTCCAAAATAACTTTCTGTCTTCCGTCTTGGCTTGCCTTTGTATTCTGCATTGAGACTGTGTGTGTGATTTGTTTAATCTCAGATGTTCCTTTTCACCTCCCACCAGAGAGATCTTCCAAACTTGTACAAAATGCTCATTTTGGACTACCGTGGTTCTAAGTGAATCTCTTAAATCCTGTCTTTTAGTCCTAGGACACTTCCACACCATGCGTTTAAAGGATTACTGTACCACTTAGCAGTCATGGCTTCTAAAGAATCCCGAGGACTGTCGTTTGCTAACAGTGATGAGAGTTATGAGGAGACCCTTACTTCCCTTATAGTAGCTCTGTGAGGGAAATAGGGGTCTCCAAACAACTCTCAGTACCCTCATTTCCCCCCACACAGCTAGATTCCAGACCCTCCAAGTGTCCCTATTTTCCAGGGACAGTCCCAGATTTACAGAAGCTGTCCCAGTTTCTGATTTGATCCCAGAATGTCCCGCTTTTCATTAGGATGTCCCTATTTTCACCAGAGAAATGTTGGAGGGTATGAGATTCTAGAGTTCCCTACGAAAAGTGATGGACCGTTAAACCACTCTGGAAATTGTAGCTCTGTAAGGGGAATAGGGATCTCCTAACAACTCTCAGCACCTTTAACAAACAAAACGTCCTAATCCAATAGTACCTCGGTTTTCGAGTGTCTCAGAAGCCAAATGTTTCAGTTTTTGAATGCCAAAAACCCAGAAGTAATTGCTTCCGTTTTCAAACTTGCCTCAGAAGTCAAACAGCTTCCGCTGGGTTTTTTCCCCAATTTTCTGAATGGAAATTGCAGGCGGACATTTGCGCCTTGGTTTTCAAACGTTTTGGAAGTCAAACCGTCTTCTGGAACGGATTGCGTTCGAAAACCGAGGTACCACTGTACTCTTGGGGGTAAGCCAAGACTGTTACAGTGCTATAATACTGCATTAAATGTATAGTACATATGGCCCTAATATTTCACTAACAGAAGGAGTGGGGTGGTATATAGCCATCGCTACAAAACCACTGCAGCCTCCACTGTGGTGCAGGCATGTATTTTGGTGCAGAAAAGAGCTTAAGAAGCTTCAAATTACTTCTTTGTAATTTGCTAGCAATGAAGGTGAAGTCACTATTTAACTTCTCATGAGAGAAGTGCTGGAACTTTTAGTTTATTCTTAAGCTCAGCTGTTCAGTGCTAAAGAGAATCTGCTTTGCAGATTCTCAGAAACGCTCAGTTAACTATTATTTCTGCTGAAGAATTCGATGAATGCACTGATTATTATTTTGTCTCACTGTTCCTCAGCTGTAAAATAGAACCAATCTCTTTTTAAAAAAAGTAGAAATGCAATAGTGTGCATGTGAGAGTTTACTTTTCTGAAACCCTCGGAGCACAACCTGTGACTCTTCTGCCATTGAGAAATGGGAGTAAGGCTGCAATATATCCCATTCTATAGGGATAGGATGCAGACACCTATCTTATCACGGAGACCACGAACACCTTTTTGGCTTTCTGTTTTTCCATTATGCTTGCCTCTAGTTCCCTCTAGTGTCCTGATGTTCCTATTGCAATCTTCCGAAGACCTGCTTATTTCCTTCTTCTGTCCAGAAACAATCCTCAAAGGGAGGTGAAAGTGGGTAACTTTCCAGCTCACCACCCAGCCTTGCACAATGAGGCGAGTTCATCCCCTTTCCTGACCCTGTTGCTGCTCCTCTCCTCCATTCTGCCCTCCTCAGGCTTGCTATTACCTTTGTGGTTTAAATATCTTTTCTGGGATTGGGGTAACATTGTGCTGCTGGCCACAACTGCACTCTGTTGCTTTTGACCTGGCCTATGGTTTACTTATATCAATCGAGCTATCGTGCCAAGCAGATGCGAATCTCAGCCATTATCACTTCCTGTAGTGTTTAATTGTGTGCTTTATGTATTTGATTTGCTGTGCGGTTTTTGGTTTGCTTCCCTTATCTCCAGCAGCCAAATGCCTGCATGCACTTTGAGTTCCTGTTTCTCCTACTTGTGGCACATCTGAGACCCTTTGCTTTTGCTACATCTTTATCTAACAGGTTGCTGAACTCCATCTCCACACACCTAAAGGATCAGATCTGCAGTCCAGAAGTGCTAACTGATCCAGCACTGACACATGATTAATAATAATAATAATAATAATAATAATAATAATAATAATAAATTTATACCCCGCCCACCTGGCTGAGTTTCCCCAGCCACTCTGGGCGGCTTCCAATTGAGTGTTAAAAACAATACAGCATTAATTATTAAAAACTTCCCTAAACAGGGCTGCCTTTAGATGTCTTTTAAAGATAAGATAGCTGCTTATTTCCTTCACATCTGGTGGGAGGGCATTCCACAGGGCGAGCGCCACTACCGAGAAGGCCCTCTGTCTGGTTCCCTGTAACTTCACTTCTCGCAATGAGGGAACCGCCAGAAGGCCCTTGGCACTGGATCTCAGTGTCTGGGCTGAACAATGGGGGTGGAGATGCTCCTTCAGGTATATAGGACTGAGGCCGTTTAGGGCTTTAAAGGTCCGCACCAACACTTTGAATTGTTATGTGACTTGAAGCACCTTTTATCTGCTTTGGCTGATATATCAGCTTCAAACTGGGTGGCGGTAGATTAGCCACAATTACCAATGCACTTCTAACTTCTTGCTTAAACTATTATAGCGTGTTGCATGACATTTCCTTTAAAATGGTCTGGAAACCGTGGCAGAACCCGAGCAGGAACACAAGATTTTTATGAGTGCCCTTACTTTCAACCAGGAAATGATGGAAGGTTTGTACTCCTTCTATGTGATCAGAAGTTTACATGAACAGGACAACTAATGGCAAAGTTATGAACACATCAGGTTTTCAAATGACTTTCTTGGCTAGAATCATAAAGCTTCCATGGCAGTCATATTACAAAGGATTGGAATGTGTAACCTGAGGTATGGCAACCTCATATATTATCATCTGACTGTTCTTTTCCTCTCCTGAGGTGCAATATTCTAGGGCTGTACATAACTCCACTCAGGACAAAATGGGCACGCTGAACACACAGTGACCTAGCTTCAGAGAGAATAGCTGGAAAAGGCAACAAAAGTGGATGTTTTAAAGAGCTTCTACTAAAGAATTAAAAAGGAGAGAGAGAGAACAGTCATTGTTTCTGCTTCTAACGTTTATTCGCATCCGTTTTGTCTTTTGAAAACCCATTGTGCACTTCATAACTAATGCAGTAATGTAGGGTTCATATATTCTGATTGTGACTTTAGGTTTATCCATATATTTAGCCATATAAGTGAAATCCCATCTCTTAACTACAAGCATTTACGAAATTAAAGTTATAAAACCAGTAGATTAAAAAATGTGTAAAAGTTACAAGTCTCATATTAATCACTTCATGACAATATTTACATTAAAATGTGATGTGATGGTTTTGCAGGAAAGCAAACAAAATAATTCAGCCATGGTTAAAAAGTTGATGTGGTCAGGATCATGGCTACAAATCAGTTCTTTGGTATAAATTTCAAAGAGAAACTGAGCTGACATCATCAGAGTAGCTCATGTCTCATGGATGGACATGGGAATAAGGATGTTTTGCATGACTTGCGGCTATGCTGTCATGGTGAAAAAATGTGACCCTCCTGAGGCAGTAAAGCCCTTGGAAACCAAGACTCCTTTCTCTCGCTCAACAGCAAAACCAGTCAATGCACTGGTAAATCTGTCAGGATTATTTTCTTCAGAGTATCACAGTCCATGAGAAACTTGGCATAAGGCTACCTAGATATTAGAACAGAGATTGAGAGAAAAGAGGCAAATGAAGAGTGACAGTTGGAATTTCCCATAACGCTGGAAGGTTCCGCAAGACATTTTGACAGAAGCGTTTGGATTTGATATCCTGCTTTATCACTACCCCAAGGAGTCTCAAAGCGGCTAACATTCTCCTTTCCCTTCCTCCCCCACAACAAACACTCTGTGAGGCGAGTGGGGCTGAGAGACTTCAGAGAAGTGTGACTGGCCCAAGGTCACCCAGCAGCTGCATGTGGAGGAGTGGGGAAGCGAACCCGGTTCCCCAGATTATGAGACTACCGCTCTTAACCACCACACCACACTGGCTAAGAGAACTCCCCGTTTAGAAGGGGAAGTGGAGCCGCACCCAGGGGTGTAGGAAGGGGGGTGCGGTGGGAGCAGGCTGCCCCGGGTGTCATCCCAGAGGGGGGGTGACAAAATCTCCCTGGGCGGATCACGCCACCGCGCCACTATCGGACTCCCACCAGGAGGATCACACTGCCACACCACGATTGGCCGCCCCCCAAGAGGATCACCACACCACGCCATGATTGGCCCCCTGTGAGGATTGCCCCATCCTTTGGGCAGATTGCCCCGCCCCCGAGTGCATGGCATGTGCACCACTCCAGGTGCTCGAGTGGCTAGCTCCGCCCCTGGCGAAACCTACATCCGAATATTTTTCCATGCGTAGGCTTTCCTGCAATCTGGAACCTTGGCAGAATCAGGGGTCCAGATCAGGTAGCACTATATATGTGTAGGCTTCTCTTATTCAATCAACTACACTCAATGTATGGAAGTTGGTGGTGAGCCAAAGGCACACTAAATGCAGCCCCACTCTGCTCATGGGGTCATCTTTGACATATAAGGCATAAAAGAGGCTTATTCATTATGTTTTAGCTTTTTTTTTATTAATGGCATTGAACTTCATTATATTTCTCAAAGGGACACAGGATGCTACCTTATACTGAATTAGGCTGCATTCATATGCTAGTTTATTCTGTTTCCATAACTGTTCCCTTCTGCATTATATTTGAACTTTCCTAAAAGCCACTTCCAGGAATACAGTGCAAGTTTAGAGCTATTTTCTGTGATAGTTGAATTTTTTTTTTTCTGGGGTTTTTGTTCACTAAAATATGAGAACTGGAAGAGATTTCCTCCCCCCCGTCCTCATAGATGAGAATAACAAGGAAGAAATTCCAGTGCATGTATGGTAAGAACAGAGGAAGAATTTGTTTTGCAGTGAACTCAACTAATCTGACAAGGCTAGGGTTGCCATAAGTCCATAATTTCCCAGACATATCCAGAATACTGCAGTCGCAAGCAGTGTCCGTGCGGAAATTGGCTAAATATCCTGGAAAATCCATGTCGGCAAGGTCATTTTTGCTGATTTCCCTCAGGAATAGCTCAAAACTTTGCCAAAAAAAGTTCAACAACTTTTCTGTCTGGATTTTCACTTTTTGAAACATGGCAGCCCTAGACAAGGCTGGACTTGCTTGCAGATCGGAATACAACTCCCAGTCAGATCGCAGCTTTATAAAGATTCTACAGTACATTATTGGTGCGTGTAAAGGGCACACATATTTTAAATTTAATTTTTATACAAAATTCACATTTTACAGGAAAATGCATTGAAAAGTATTGGGAAATGCATATTTGATGAAAAGAGTGTGTCAGTTTGACATAAGAGGTGCATACAAACTGTGCACAATTTAAATAGAAACTTTTTGTCCATCCTTTGAGCAACAAAAAAATCTATACAACAACCGCATGGAACAGACCTATGATTTGAAGCCAGCAAAACTGAGAGAGGACAGAATCAGATTGATCAGTTTATCTCTGGCTGAAGAATGCTTGAATCGCGACAGGTAGGTTGCTTTACAGTGGGGAAGCTAGGACATTGTACCAGCGACAGTGGAGTTTCAAAGAGACATGCCTTCTTATTCCCAGGCCTTTCTCCCAAAACTATGTACATAACACAGCAGAGACACATCTGAAGTTTGTGATTGACTTGGCATTCCAGAAGACCTGAATTGGGTGTAATCGTTCTTAGGAATCTCGTCTTGGCTTTTCTATTCTCCCTGGCTTGAGGGTTCATAGCACGGGTTGGCATATGCTTCATAAGATGGAGGAGGACCTATTGGCAGAAGATTTCCTTGGTGTGGTATGACTGCATCTGGCACATCATATATTGCCTGGAAAGTAGATTACAATGAACAATTAGAAACTCTCAGATGCTATTATTACGCTTTACATCCTTCCAGATGCCACCACTGACTTAATTTTCTCCCAGTAGCATCTCCTCCTCCTTTTGATTCTCTAGAGGCCACCTGGTTCCCATTTTCCCAAAGCAAACATCTTACAAGTTTCACCCCCATACCCCAGAAGAAGTCCCATGGAGATGCTTACCTCTTCACCTCGACGGAATATTGCTTCATACCCAAAACTTAGAGAGACCATTCCAATGAAGAACTCCAGGACGGCAAAGATCAAGATGACATTTAAAAGTCCTAGGGCTACTCTCTGCCAAACATAAAGCCATGCCGTCAGATCATATTAAGGTTACACAATTAAGGATAACTGAATCACCACAGAAAACTACTAAAGTAATAGATGATAAAATAAAAGACCCAGTGTTTGCCTTCAGATAGCAATACTGTTCAATTGTAATAGTAAATAATATTTTAAATATTAAACATTTTAATTTAAGATTGATCAGTATTTTGCCTTAAACATTGTTGCTACTTCAGATTCCCAGGTCCTATGGTTCTGAAACGCACTCATAAAGAGGTTCTGACAACACCAACATTTGGATCACCAATTTTTAGATTTGGCATTTGCTAATGTGTGATGAATCCGGCACCCAAAGGGAGAAAAGTAATTTCCTCGTTTACTTGAATGTTTTTTTATACAGGCAATGGCCGATTTACATATGTCCAATTGATGTGCAACCGCAAGCACATGCATCACAGCAACCCGGAGGTGGCCAGAAAGGAGGCGGGGTGCGGTGGGCTTATGTGTGCTCCGCCAACATGCGTGGGAGTCAGGAACATAACCCCCACACTAAACAATCATTGCCTGTATATATATAAATAATGGAAACAAGTTAAAATTAGCTCCGATCTTAAGAAATCACCACTGTGGGCTTATACACACTTCTGTTTACCCTGCAGCTTCCCCCATGGTTCAGTGCTGAATCAGAGCACACGGCAATCAGGTTTTCTGTGGATTGCCATTTGTTCCGATTTACCACTAAAGAGTGGGTTTTCCAGGGGGAAAGGGGTGGGGCAAACACAAAACCACTCGGACCCATGCCTAGAAAGCACAGGCCAAGCAGAAGCACAGATGAGCCCTCTGTCATCTATTAAACGTCCGCGGCTGATTCAGGCTCCACACAGGTATTAGGAAGTCAGGTTTATTTGCAGAGCTTGTGTTTTTAACACACCAGCCTGTAGCAGGGTTTCTCTGCAGTCCAAGTGATGTCTGAGGGGCTTGGCTGTACCTGAGAGCAGGGTACACGGTTAATTCACTGTCCCTGGTTCCAATATATTTGCCACTGAAGAGCCAAACTAGTCCCTATGTGGCTGAAATGTTAAATTCAATTGTTGCTAGACGACTTATTAGCATTAGCCTTATTAGTATTATTAGCTCAGTCAATGATATAACTCTACCTCTGCATGGTCTGTGCAGCTGAGCTGGTGCTGGGACCCTCTGCTCCTGCTGCTTAAGGACATGCAGTTCATCTTGTGAACTCCTTTCCTGCCACATCTACAAGCTGGCAGTGGAAGGAGACACAGCCTTAAAAAGTTGTAAGGTGCCGTTATATAAAATCAAGCTCCGCCTGATTCCTTTATGGCTCAGGTGACTAAGAAAGGTCTATTTTATCCCCCTGGCTTAACCTACCCTCCTGCCAGATCCTCCTACCCAGTAGCAGTTTCGCTTCACACCACTTGGTAAATGGCAAGGGATATAATGAGGGCAGAGCAAATAAAGGATGAGGATTACAGTGGAAAACAAAAACAAAAAATTCAGGAGTTTGGCAGCCAACCCCATTTGCTACATCCAGGTTAAGGGAGCTTTCAGATGCAGCCCATTCAACTGCTGCTAAAATAAGTTCAGAAGTCAACATTCCCAAAAACAGGCTTACCAGGCGTATTAAGTCAGAGGGCGTATAATAAACAGGAAAAATATTTTCATCTATGAGGAGAACAATTATCCCAACGGTTGCAGCAAGAGTGCTCACAATGTTCAGGCATGCGCTGACTTTCATCTGTAAGAAACAAATACACCCTTAGGGTACAAGCTATTCTGGTCATGCTGCATAGCAACCTGACAAAAGCCTTATTCCAGGGATAGCCAATACAGTGGCTTCCAAGTGTTGCTGGCCATCCCAGCATCCCTGAGCAATGGCCCTGCTGGCTGGGGCTGATGGGAGTTGTGGTCCAACAACATCTCAAGGACACCATGCTGGCTATCCCAGGCCTATTCAGATATTCTTAAACATGGTGGGGGAGGTGGGCTGTGCACACTGCTCCCAGCCCCACCACCCGCCCCGCATCTTCCTGAGTTGAGTGGGAAGGTTTGAAGGAGGAAGTGCTTTTGACCGGATGCAGTGACTGTCCTCCCTGTGAACAAGAACCTAGGGTTCCTTGTGGTGGAGAGAATTGCAAGCATATAAGACAAACATGGTTATACCCCACTTCAGATCTTCCTGTACACTTCCCACTACCCTTCCACAGATGCAGCTTTAAAATGCATGACTAGAACTTTTGGCACCATCTCTATTAATGGTTTTTTTTTTAACCTCCTTTTGACTATGTGAAAACTAGGGCTGTCTGAAAATGGCACCCCAAAATCCCCCATGTTATTTGTGAGCATTAAAAGAAGCAGGAGTTTTGCAGATATTATCTGTGGGTGGACTGAAATTTCTTCTTTCAGGAAGAGCTTGGAAAAAGAAAACATGTTTTTTTTAAAGTATCAAAAAATGTTTTCTGATAAATTTTGGACAAGCCTACTTCCTAGATCAATTATGCAGGGATGAAATACTGCTTCAGTCCAAGGTCAGACCTTAGAAACAACTGCCAATAGAAGTAAGATTATTTCCAGGAATCTCTCTAAGAAAACTCCATTTTATTTGATTAGGATATTTGCGCAGTAACTGCAGAGAAGGCTCAATGATTAAAAGAGTCTCAGCTTTTCCATGCTATTCCAAGACCTCTCTGAGGAGTCACAAGGTTTGGGGCTCCAGTAAGAGTTGGCTGCTCTTATCTGGGGGAAAATTCAGAACAAGGAGGATGCTACAGATTCTGTAGCCCTGAAGTCCTGACAGGAGGATTTTTAGTGGTCTTGTGTAAGCTGTACTGAGCTCCCAAAGAAAGTGCGCAATATATGTGCAGTAAATGGTGGGTTGAGAGGCAGGGCAGGTAGTGAGGAACCAGACTCACCTGTAGGGATGATCTGTTATGCTCAGTTATCGCCAATGCAAATCCGGAAATGATGAACTGGGTCACACAAGAAAAAAAAAATCAGGATTAGAGTAAAACTTCACTCCAAATTCAGGTGGGAAAAGACTTATGCAGATAAAAGAGGATGCTGACAAATGGGGCAGGCTGTCTACAGGAGTTATGAGGCAAAAGTAAGGGGCCAGGGGCAAGACAGGAGAAAATGCACTACGTGCATTTCCTGAATGTGATTTTTTTCTGTTGTAGTTACCATTCCTGTCTTTGATGCATAACCCACCATCTCCTGGAAAGAACAGGAAATTGAAGTTCAGCCTTGAGCTAATAAGCTGCAATTCCCCAGTGTAGTGTCTGAGCATTCAAAGAAACAGAACACGCACAAACACAAACACACACACACATGTTATATGTTGGTATCCCTACCTGCATTAAATTGTCTGAACTTCACCTGGCAAATTATCTGAATTTGGTTTGGTATTCCTAAGAGAAACCAGCAATTTTGGATTTCTTATACAAATGACCGCTAAATTTAGGCTGAGCTTGAGAGCTGCTTCCATGTGGGTTCCAAAATGCACAGAAAGCATTTGATCCCAGAAACCATGTGGACAAGGCCAATTTTCCACCTAGTTGGTACCCTCCCCACTGGTCAACTGTTGGATGTAAAAAGACTAGGCAATTAGTCATCGAAATGTCACATTCAAGTGCTATTGAATTCATGAAACATCTAACTGCTATTTAATTCCCTATTCTTAGGGTTTCTTGAATGGTGAGGTTCTCTTTCCCTTAGAGGAAAAGTTGCCTGCAGCAATCATTTGTCAAATGGGGAGGTGGCTGGCATAGTTTGAATTTGTTTGAATTGAACTGGTGCTACTTACAATGAGTCCGCCCCAGTACACATATCCAGAGAGCACAGTGTATGATCGGCTTCTGTCCAAGAGAAGGGTCAAGAGGCTCCCAAAACTAATGTGAACCAAGCCAATCAGAATCTGGATAGCCTGTAATAACACAATTGAATAGAATAGGTGAGATGAGTCCTAGTGTTTTCGACAGTCCTTGTTTGGGGAGACAAATTCTGTCAATTTGAAACTGAAGGAACTGTCCAGAGCGCTGACCAACTTTTGTGTCATCATAAAACACCCTCCCCATTCTCAAAGAGCAGCATTTCAGAGTTTTAAAAATCCATTTTTTAGACACGCCCTATATATCATGCAAATGTATGGTTGTAAAAACGACATTTAAAACAAACGAAAAGGTACGCAGTCCAAAGAGGAATGAGAAAATTGCCACGGGTTGGTTTGTTTATTTTACAGTTTCATATCCTGCCTTTCCACCATTTAGGCTTTGCTACTGAAACAGCTACAAGTGTTGTTTGAGGGGGAAGCTAAGCTCACCCGACCTGGGCCAAAGAGGTGCTACCAGCTCCTGGTTTGGAGTACATCTACCCCACCTAGTGCAGCAGCAACTCTCACACAATGCCTCATATAAAATTCCTCCCTTCCTAACAGCAGTCAGAATAAGGATTGCGGAAGTGAGGCAAAAGGGTGTGTGGGTGTGTTTATATAGATTTAGATACAGATATAGATAACTTTAACACACTTTGGGAAGGAGTGGGATTCAGAAAACATGGTTTTGTGTGTCTGTGGGGTGGGGGAATTCCATTGCAGCTCAGTATTTAAAAGTACTTCTGAGAACTGGGGGGGGGGGGGGTTGAGGGGAAGAGGGAAACCTGGATTTTTACCCAAAGCAGATGTTCCAGGTGTTCAGCTTAGATGGGACCATTTTTAATTTCTCTCCGTTTCTCACTTTTCCAATCTTAATTTCAGTTCTCCACATTTCCCTACAAATCACAATTTCCCTCCCTACCTAGAAAGTTTTCCTTCAGGGTGAATTTATCTTACCACACACATTTCAGCATGCAGTTTTGCCAAACATACACATTTAGCACAGCAATTGTAAGGTAAAGGGACCCCTGACCATTAGGTCCAGTCATGGCCGACTCTGGGGTTGCGGTGCTCATCTCGCTTTATTGGCCGAGGGAGCCGGCGTACAGCTTCCGGGTCATGTGGCCAGCATGACTAAGCCACTTCTGGCAAACCAGAGCAGCGCACATAAATGACGTTTACCTTCCCGCCGGAGCGGTACCTATTTATCTACTTGCACTTTGATGTGCTTTCGAACTGCTAGGTTGGCAGGAGCAGGGACTGAGCAACGGGAGCTCACCCCGTCATGGGGATTCGAACTGCCGACCTTCTGATCGGCAAGTCCTAGGCTCTGTGGTTTAACCCGCAGCGCCACCCGCTTCCCTACAGCAATTGTACCCGAATAGAAAACATTTTACGGTGAAGCATATTTCAGAGAAGTGTGCATTTTGAAAGATGGCTACATTTTGGTGCGCATAGTGTGCCAGAGAGTGTGAATTAGGTGAGTTGAGTTCACCTTTCAATGCCGAATTATTTCCCCACATCCCTTGATGTGAATCAGAATATCAGAGCTGGGGTGGATGAATTGTGACAGAGAGGCAATGCTTGGTGTATAAGCTAGTCCACAAAGAAACCATAGAGGAAGATACTTCTGTTCTTTACATAATTATTTTTGCTATATAACTCTTTATTGGTGATCACAATAATCCCCAGAGACCTTAGTATGAGATGGGTCACTTACCCCTAGCACTCTGGGTTCTCCTTTGCGTTCTGTACGTAAGTTACCAGCTGGCTCAGTTCCTCCATAGAGATGGCTGCCTGGATAGCCTGTTCCAAGTGGCTGGCCACCCAAATGCATGGCACCAGTTGGGTACAAAATCTGGTTTGGGTGGCTGGCCATCACACCATGGTGAGGAATAACCATGAATGCTTGGTTGTCCATGCTGAGCAATGCAGCTACTGTAACAGAGGGGAAAGAGAAAAGAACCCATGAATTCGTTCATGAAAAGTGCACATTGTTCTTCCTTGCTCTGAGTTTGGTATGGACTCCCTCAGGCATATGCAATGACAGGAGACAGTTCTACGTTGCTATGTTGCTGGTAGAAACAAGCTGGCTGGGGCTGGTAGGAGTTGTAGTCCAAAAACATCTTGAGGGCATTAAGTTGTGGAAGACTGGTATACAGCAGGGGTGGAAATACTTTTTCAGCCACATTTGTAAGCAACCTTCTGGGAACTCCATGCTACTGGCAGGCAGGGCCAGAACCACAAAGCAATGGATGTGGCTTTTACCTTTGTACAGAGGTGTGTATACACACACACACACACACACACACACACACACACACAGTCTCCACTCAGGCAAATTAAAGGCATTCTAACCTTTCATGGTCACATTCTAGCCAAACAAAAGTACTCAGGGAGAAATCACAAACTGATGCAGAAATGGGACAGAACAGATTTATGAACAAATGAATGAACGAATGTACAACTGACACAGACTGGTTATAGACTGTTCTCTAAATACATCAGAATTCCATGCTTTCTAGTGCAGTAGTAGTAGCTCCAGTGATTTTTACAGATACACTTCATGCCAGAATCATATATACACAGTAGATTAGGGATGGGCGGTTCTCTCAAATTCATTCTCTCGGTTTCTCGTTTTCAAATTTCAAATTCAGTTATCCACATTAGTTTGCAATTTTTAAAAAAGTCCTCATGAACATTCATCAGCATTGTACTGCAAAATTGCTTCTAGTAAGCACATTTTGGGTTCAGTTGTGCCTAACACACACAGTTATGGAAAGCACTTTCGCCTTACATTATGCATTTTTGTATGTTATTTTCACAAATATATGTTACCTGGCTGGAAAACTACGCTGCAAAATTTGGAGAAATGTGAATTTGGAAGGCTGATTGCATAATTCGCATTGTTTTCGAAAGTGCAGATTAGGTAGATTCACCTTTAAATACAAACAATTGAAATTCTCCCCCATTCCTAAAAGAGAGTAAGAAATAGGGGTGGGATTTAACTACAGTGGTACCTCGGGTTAAGTACTTAATTCATTCCGGAGGTCCGTACTTAACCTGAAACTGTTCTTAACCTGAAGGACCACTTAATGGGGCCTCCTGCTGCTGCCGTGCTGCCGGAGCCCAATTTCTGTTCTTATCCTGAAGCACTATTTCTAGGTTAGCGGAGTGTGTAACCTGAAGCGTATGTAACCTGAAGCGTATGTAACCCGAGGTACCACTGTATGTTGTTGTATGGGTGAGATGAGGTATATTTGTGCAGTTCCCTCCTTTCCCCTGGCCCATGTGCCCTTATGCCCCTTAAATCATCGTTGGAGGGTTAAAGGAACCTCCAGAACTGGTTCAGGGGATGCAAGGGAGGGAAAGGGGGGGAGGAAGTCCCATTGTGTGAGTTGAGCTTGTTCCCTATACCCCACTTAGTGCTACATTGAATCTCACCTTAGGTATTCTATTGCCTGTTTCAAGGGCAAATGGGTTCGCATCCACTGCCACCTCCACCCCACCCCTGTCGTCGCCATTTGCCCTATTTCTAGCAGCATGAAAAAGATCTCATTCTTTACCCTGGAGACTCTCCCTCCCTTTCTCTGTACCCCTCCCTCCTTCCTGCGAGAGGCCTCGGCCACCACCAGTGACCAATGATCCTCCTAATAATGACCCAAGCTACCAAGAGGTGATAGGACTCACTGTATTTCCCGACCTTGCAGATTCTGCTTTCCCTCTTGGGTGTTCAAGTTCTACTCAGTCAACCAGGAAGCTTGCTCAGAGTTTTAAAGAAGTGTCATTTGTTGCTGTTGGACCTTTGATCTTATTTGCTTGGTCATATCCATCCGCCCCGCCCTTCTCCTGCAGGTACGTCCCAGTTCTACCTTCATCAGGGTTATGGTTGCCATGGTCCCTTCTATTAAAGAGCTTCTCTATACCCTAGAGCAGAGTTGTCCAAACTTTTCATGTTGGCAACAAACTTTTTAGACACGCATCATTTCGCAACACAGTAATCCAGTTTTACTAGCAAACCAGAGGTTAACTAACCCCTTTCCAGCCCCGGCAGCAGTGCAAAGAGCGTTTGGGTGACACACCTGCACACTGCAGCCGACACACTAATGTGTGTCACGACACACAGTTTGGAAAGTTCTGCCCTAGAGCATTATTTTTATATTTTTATTTCATTTAAAATATTTCTATACTGCTTTTTTATTCGCTGGATGTTTTCCAGCACCGCCTTAAAACACTGTTGTTCAGGCAAGCTTATCTAGATGTCTCCTGTTGATTTGTCTTTTTGTCTACTGTTGATGTTTATCACTGCAATGTTTTAAAATGGCCACTCACCCACTCCAGCGGTGGGCATCGGTTGCAACCCGGCATGGGGTTTCCTCATCCTCCCACAGCCGTGCCATGTGCCCCTGAGCATTGCTCCCGTCCCCTGGCCATTGCGGTGCCTGATGGGTTCCCGCCAAACCCAGATTCAAATTCTGGCCTATCTGCAGTGGCCTGGGGGTGGGGCAACAGGAGCGGACTGCATTTGGTGAGGTTTCTCTCTGGTCCACTCCCAGAACTTAAAAGGGGGGTCTGAAGCAGCCACATTTATTAAGAATTTAAATATTTGAGGTGGGGTGTAAGCTGCCTAGAGGTTTTGTTACAGTCAGAGCTCTCACTCACTTACACACACACACACACACACACACACACACACACACACACTAACCGTGCCTTAAGTAGTTTACAGCAATTCAGAATAGCTGGCGTGGGGACAAGGGTGCCAGCTTGACTAAAATATTGGGGGGGGGAGCCCTGCCCTGCATAATCAATCACATGACACAGTGCACACATCCCATTTTAATGGCAATGCCAATCAATGGGGGGGGGGGGATAAGCCCCTCAAATATTTTAGTGGGGGAGCTGAAGGGACCTTGGCTCCTAGGAGTTGGCTCCTATGTGTGGTCACAAGCCCTTGTAGGAAACCTTCTGAGCATGGCAGTGGATTGTGGGTCAAGAGCAGAAGTAAATAGAGAAAATGATGTGGCTCTCATTTTTATACAGCAGGCTGGCCAGGTTTTTTGCCCTGGGTGAAGAAGAAGAAGAGAAGAAGAAGAGTTTGGATTTGATATCCCGCTTTATCACTACCCTAAGGAGTCTCAAAGCGACTAACAATCTCCTTTTCCCTTCCTCCCCCACAACAAACACTCTGTGAGGTGAGTGAGGCTGAGAGACTTCAAAGAAGTGTGACTGGCCCAACGTCACCCAGCAGCTGCATGTGGAGGAGTAGGGACACCAATCCGGTTCACTAGATTACGAGTCCACCACTCTTAAGCACTACACCACACTGGCGAAGCCTCCAGAGGGGTGCCATTGAAACTCCCTGCTTGTGTGTATGTGTATGCAAATGCACGCGGGTGGGTGGGTGCCAAACTGGGTCTTTGACCCAGGTGAAATAAAAGCTAGTTTTGCCCCTGCAGTAAGCCACAAGTCCCATCATGCGAAAGTCAGGCTTCTATACACAAACAACCATGCATTTCTCTCAATTTTCCATCCAAACAAGCAAAGGGCATGATCACTGCTCAAGGACACATTTCAGCCTGGTAAAATCACTCAAGGAGCAAAGCCAGTGAGGGGTCCTGGTCTGGGGCAGAAGGGTGGTCCTAGGGAGATTCCCAGGGCCTAGACAGAGACACCTAGAGAACATATTCACCGCTCAAGGCTGAGGAGTCCCACCCTTGGAACACATCAATAGAGCCCTACAAATCATAGTGATTACTACTACACTCTTTAGAACACTGTACTGTATATCCCTAGAAATGGGTGAGCCCCAGCTGCAATTTAGAATGGAACTGACACAAATGAGTTAATTTGGGCCAATTATAATTGCCTCACTAATTAACTTACAATTGGGCCTCCTCAATGGGACCCTCTATGTTATGTACTGAAGTTCTCACCCTGGGCCAGCAGGGGGATACTGTAGATAGTTATGCAAATGAAGGATCGAAAGTGACGTTCAGTGATTGGATAGTTTGTATGCAAATGAAGGATCAAAAGTGACATTCAAGGATTGGATAGTTTTAGAAAATGGCAACAGTTACATTGTTCTGGAGCTCTATATAAGCAGGCTGACTGAGCTCCTCAGCTCAGTTCTGTTCCAGCTTACAAATAAAGAGCTGCTTTGGAAGAATCGCTGTGTCGTCTGATATGTTCGCCCACAACTTAACACTGGCGACGAGGATGGGATCGATGGACATCAGAGCACAGCCAGATGCGGCCATCCTCTGAACTGAGCTGAATCACTGACCAAAATCACTGAGCGAAATCACTGAACAGAACCAATTCAGAGCTGACTGTTCTGGCTAGAGCACTGTGTTCCATCCATCGCCCTTCACGCCGGCATCGGAATCATGGCTTCACTTGTGCTTCTACCGCCGTTTGCGCCAGCCTCTGAATCATGGGACTCCTACCTCGCTCGGTTCGACTGCTACCTCCAAGCCAACGAGCTGACAGCAGTATCAAAGGAACGGAAGCGGGGCCTATTCCTCAGCCTCTGTGGGCCTGAGGTGTTTGAGACAGCCCGAGCATTGGTTGCGCCTGAAGCAGTCCAGGCAACACCATGGGACACGATCCAAGAGAAGCTCCGCAACCACTAAGCGCCAAAGCCGTCCAAGATTGCTGCCCGCCATGCGTTTTACCACCGGAACCAGGCAGAGGGGGAGTCAATCAACAACTACACCACTGCCCTCCGACAAGCTGCAATGCACTGCGAGTTCCAATATACAGGTACGCCCATCTCCTTTAGCCTTGATCCACAAGTCGCCCCCATCAAGCTAAAGCCACGCCGGGTTCCCTTTGCTCTCAAGGCTAAGGTGGACGAACAACTGGACAAGCTGATTGCCCAAGGAGTGTTGGAGCCGGTTGACCACGCCAAGTGGGAAA